GTTTAAAGGTCGAGGGCTTTAGGGACTGAGAATATAATTGCCGTTACGGCCTGTGAACCCTTCGCTGCGCTGATCTCGGTGGCCGTCGCCAGAGGCTCGGCGGGCTCGCTTCGCCCCGCTGGCTGGCCGCCAGCTAAACAAGGCCTCGCTCGAGTCCAAGGTTTAAGGGGTTTCGACGCTCACACTCGCACAAGGCAGCCAAGGCTCCTCAGGGTTTAAGGTTTAGGGTTTAGGGGTTGAAGGGTTAGGGGTTAAGGGGTTTAAGGGTTTAGGAGCTTGTCAACAAGCGCCGCGCCTCGACCCAAGGGGGTCGTCGCGCGGAAGCTAAAACCCCACCCCAAGGCCACCCTGTCTCTAGTCGCCTCGGGTTTTCTGTGTCTTGCTTATCACACAGCAAGGTTCGTGGTACAGGAAAAATGCAGCAGGGTACCACAAAGCTGGAGTCAGATCCACATACGTGGACATTGTTTTATCGGAACAGCTGCTGTGATCAAGGCTGACGGACCGCGAACTTTTGAAAGTACTGTTTATTTAAAGTATTTAGCGGCTTCTGGGCTGGAGGATTAGAACGGTACTTTGAAACCTAACCTACACGTGCCTCGGTTCGACAAACCCACAGCAAGATCAGTATATACAAGCACAAGCTGTGGGTCCGTGTGCGGTAGCACAGATTGGAGCCCGTTGCGCCCAACCATTTTGGCACCTGCGTGGGCCACCAAGTAGGGAATCCAGCGAGCACAAATCAGAGACACGCAGGTGTATCCTGGAACGCTTTATTTTCGGAACACATGGCGTTGTGGAGTTTCAACTCAGGACTGCGAATCTTCGAAAGCACTTGGGCCAAAAGCACCGAGGTTCAATATTTTCAGAAGTGTCAAGGGCTGCATGATGGGAGGAGTGTAGGAGTTGAGGTTTGACGAAGAAGGCGGTGCGACAGGGCAGCCGATGATTCGCCACGGAAACGCGGTCAAGGTACCCATCGTCGCTGTCGTCGCGAGGACTCCAGCAGGGCGCGATGCGCTTGGAAGTGCAGGATGTATGAAGTCTGTCAGGAATGCAGCCATGGCGCGCGCAGTGCCACATCCGACTGAGATTCTACTTCTGGGTCACCAAGAAAAGAAACAACAAAGGAGGTGAGTCTGTGAGTCTTTGACGCAACGTGGACCGGGCAACAAAGCCCCCAATCGCTGTAGACGCTGCAAATCGAATCATGCACTTGAGAAGAACTTGTGAGCAGGGATACAGGATGCAACACGAAACTTCGAATGACAGTCGGGACGACGGGGCAGACGAGGCTGCCCTCGATGGCAGTCAAGCCTCTTGGGCCAGGTGCGTTCGCTGCATACGCGGCAAATCGAAGCATGCACCTGTGAAGAATTTGTGAGAAAAGATACAGGATGCAGCACGAAACTTTGAATGACCAGTCGAGACGAGGGGGCAGACAGGGGTGCCCTCGATGTCTGCAGCCAAGCTTCAGGTCTGTGAGTTCGCTGTAGACGCGGCAAATCGAAGCATGCGCTTGAGAAGAACTGGTGAGAAGGGCTACAGGATGCAGCACGAAACTTCGAACGACAGTCGGGACGACGAATGTACTCGTCGTGAAAGTGTAGGCAGCGATGCATAAAGTCTTGAGGCCATCGGGCCATATTTCTCCGGCGGGGGCGACGTTCTATACTCCGACGAGAACGATGTGTCTTTCTCGGGAAGCAGTCCTTGCGGTCGGTGCTCTCGTCGGCTAGCATATGGCATCTCGATGATGGCTTCCTTCGTGTGGTCCTTGGGATACCACCTGGGTGTGGACAAGGCCCGGACGGCCGAGTCAGGGTGTGGTCAGCGGTCTTCGCGGCTAGCGAACGCAGGATTGTGAGAGCTACATGGAGGTTAGGAGATTTGGGCTTTACGTGTTTAAGCATTTAGGGATGTTGAATTTCGGGATTCTTGGTGCTTTAGGTTTTTAAGATTCCAGCCGCTTTAGGACGTTGGCTTTTGGGGTCTTCGGATTGTTTGGTGGAATAGCTTTTAGCCAGCTGAACAAGGCCTCGCTCGAGTTTGGAGTATTAGGATTGTAGGGTTTTTTGCGGAATAGGATTTTAGGATCTTAGTGGCTTGGCACTTGGCGCTTTAGGATGTTAGCTAATTATTTTGGGACATTCGCATTTGGGTGATTTTTGGGCATAGGATGTTAGGGTTCTAGCGTTCTTTTCATTCAGGTTTGTGGTATTAGGGGTTTTAGGTTTTCGGGGAATAGGATTTTAGGATCTTAATGGCTTGAGTGCTGTTTCCTTCGTATCTTCGGTGCAAGTGCGCTGATAACCCGGCAACACCACAGGAGGCCTGGATGCAAAAAAGGATCTTAATGGCTTGGCGTTTTAGGCATGTTGGGGCATTAGCATTTTGGGATTCTTGGGGCATGGGACTTTACGGCTTAGCAGTCTTTTCATTTACCTTTATGGCGTGTGAACCTTTGCATGCTGGAAAAAATCGGCACGGCACTCAAAGCTAACTCTTCTTCGTGCTAGAGACCGGATCCACCTCGTTCAGCCAGACTGTCGCTTGCGCTGGTCTCGGGGCCGTCGCCAGAGGCTCGGCGGGCTCGCTTTGACCCGCTGGCTGGCTAGCTAAACAGGGCCTCGCTCGAGTTTCGACGCGCGCACTCGCACAAGGCAGGCAAGGCTCCTCAGGGTTTCGGGGGTTAGGGGTTGAGGGGGTTAGGGGTTTAGGGTTTAATTTTATTGACCGACCCTTTTCCGTCTCGCAGTGGGTCTGGAAGCAGTGGGTTTAGGAGTTTCGGGGTTAGGGGTTTCGACTCGCACACTCGCACAATCGCAGGCACGGCTTGATGGTCCATTGCTACCTTTACTTCAACTATCTGCTCCGCCCTCTGTCACCAAGCCACCGAATACGAAACATAAGTATCTGGGTAGGTACGACATAAGACGGTAACAACAAACAATGAGGGTGGTCAGAGGAGCAGAGCGGCTTCAGGGCGCTACGCTGCCATTGGCCTCGGAGACCCAGCTTAAAGTAATGACCCAAGTTGAAATACAGAAACCAAAGCTGAAAATCTGAACTGAATCTGAACACGAGCCTATTCACTAGGCCGACGACAGCGCGCACCCATAAATGCGGCCCAGCGAGAATGGCAGCCAGTACCAGCTACCCTATTTCGCTAACTGTTTCAAAAGCTCTCCTCAGAAGGTCACCTCGAGATCATGTAGCTCTCCCATGCAGACTATGCAGACACATGCAACTCGTCCTGATGTGGTTGTTCAGCTATGTGCAGGACTCTATCCCAAGCGGGTTGTCTGGAGTACCACGCCTCTGCTTCACTCCGTACCTATTGCAAAGAGCCAAAGAGCATCTCAGCACTTGCAGCCATGTAGAACGGAGAGGGTCGCGCCCCATGCACGCTCGGAGCCCGCGAGAGGTTCAGCTGTCTAGTCCAGCAGCCAGCAAAGAGTACTAACCCATGCACGCTCGTATCCCGTGGGAGTTTCAGCTGTCTAGTCCAGCAGCCAGCAAAGAGTACTAAACGTAGCAGACACAGTGTGGTCCACGCAAAGCAGAGCTCCTCCGTGGCTGTCTATTGCCCTGCAGATAAGTTGTATGCTCGCTGTCCTCTCAACTTGTAAGGCAGGATACACCAGTATCGTGACTGTAGCTGTGTTTTGCTCCACGGTCAGTCTACCCACTGCAGCTGCAACGGGGCCACCAAAGTCGCCGCCATATACAGGAGATTATGTGAGCCCACGTCCTCACAGTAGTCAGGCCCCCGGCGTCCCAAGACAGCGACCATGGCTCCCGCGAACCGAGGGTTAGGGTGTAGCAGGGATGGGGTAGTGCGGTGAAAATGCACAAGTCTAGGAGGGCAGAGGGATGTGGATAGGCCGCGGTCCCCAGAGTGCCGTGAGGAATAGAATAATGCAGTGCTGCCTCAGGATCAGCAGAGCAGCAGAGCAGACACAAGCAGGCAGAACCCCCGGGTTGTTAGCGTGTTGGCCACGGCGTAAGGCGAAGCCTGCAAAAGACATGACTGTGGGGAACAGCAAACAAACATGTCACAACTGACAACATGCAACTGTCTCTGCTCTCTCTCTGCTCTCCCAGTCCCTGTTACGTCTGTACTTGAAAGTTCCTGGCTGTGTGCACCTGACTCGCACCCTCACTGGTTTCACCTGCTTGTGATGCTCACAAGGGTCCTTGCGCCCGTGGCAGGTAATTTGAAGCACATCGTGCTGAAGATAGCTCGCGTAGCTCCCATGCATGTTACAAAGCTCGTCATCGAGAAACGGGCCTCAGGAGTCAAATGTCGATGCTCCCAATGCTCTGTACAGTGACTATCGTTGTGCTCGTGGTGCGTGGCTTGCATCGAATAAAAGCGTGGTGCAGTTCATGCAGTAAACATTTCATGCAGGTGCTGTACATACAGGCACGCACTGGATTTGCGATACAGCAGTAACATAAGCACCAATAAAGTCACAAAAGGTCACAAGGGCATCACTGAGTCTTGCGTGCTCCGGCCTGGCATTGCCATGCATTAAATTCATGGCATGATGCGTTCAAATTCATGTCGTGACATGCATAAAGTACAGATAAAGTGCAACACGGGTATAGTATGCACGCAAATTCATGTCGTGACATGCATAGAGTACAGGCAAATTCGTTACGTGGCATGCATAAAAGTACAGACAGCGACGAGCCACATGCATGTAAGGTCACACGGCAACGCAGGTCTTACTCGGAGGTATATAGGGAGTATAGGAGGGAAGGTATGACACACAAGGGGTAGGGCTACATACATGAATATGGACAACCTTTGACCCTGCTGAATGCACGTGTGGCGGAGCTACTCAAAAGACGCAGTTCACTGACTGAGCTGAGCGACGAGCCGGGATTTAGGCGGGTATTACTTGGCGCCAGCGATCTAAACATGAGGGCCTAAGTTCTAGACCAAAATAAAGAGATATGGGGCGCCACCACGAGCCCGCGCACAGCTCATCTCAGCGCATCTGCATGAAAGCCGGGCCCTGCTGGGCTCCAATCACATCGTCCTCTGAAACAAGCATCCTCTTGCCGTTGGCGAGGATCAAGGTGGCCCACTGCGTGTTCTGCGCCGTGGGGCGTGCCGGTATGCGGCTCGATAGATCAATCACTGCCGGCATTGTGCCTGCCACAGTCTGCGGTGGCACAGGCTGTGGGATCGCAGCCCCCAGAACATCGGCAGAGCCCATGGCCGTGCCGCTCGGCGGAGAAGCAGTACGGGGCCTGTCCTTCAGGTCCTTCATGTCCTTCACCACATCGTGCAAGGCATCCGACAAGGAAGCTGTTTGGGCCGCCACATCCTTCAGAAGGTTCTGGATGTCCTTGACCCCGGGGCTGTCTGAGGGGGGTGCCCCCAAGGCCGCCCCCATGTTCGCCGTTGCCGCCTGCAGACTGTCCAAGCTCGAAGTGAGCCTCCTGGTGAGCCCCATCTGGTCCTTGCCCATTTGCTCTACCATGCCCAAGTTCTTGTTCACATCCTGTTGCAAGGAGGTAGTTCGATCTCTGATGGCGCTCTCCACCCGGTCTGTGAAGGTTGCAAACTTGCCTGGCAAAGACTCCAGTTTGCTCATCAGACCCTCCAGCTTTGCGACGTGAACCTCGAACTTGGCCTGGTTCGTGTCCAGCGAGGTCAGCTTGCTTGCAACGTCGCTGTTGAGGAGGTCAATGCGGGCCTTGACATTGGTCTCCTGCACTTCCATTGCTCCTTTAAGCGCGGTTTCCAAGGTCTGAAAGCGACCCTGTTCCGTCTTGTTGGCCAGGGCAAACGTTTGCTGCAGGTTTTGCAGCAATTGCTTCAAGCCATCCATCGCCGTCTGGGTGTCCTTGTGCTTGTCGAGCAGCTGTCGAGTCAAGCCGCTTGCTTGCTTCTGTAGGATCTCCTCGAAGTCCGCATATCGAGATGCCACCAGCTTCTCCACATGGTCGTTCAAGGTCGTGACAGCCTGTTCCAAGTCCCGCTGTGAGGCCGGTCGCATTGCCCCCCACTTGGCATCAAGAGCCTGCTCCACTACATCTCTGACTGTGTCGACTGCCAAGTTCACCGAGGTGTTGTCAGTAGCATCGGCGGAGCTGCTTGGGCCTGGCAGTGACGCTGCGATCGCAGCCTCCAGCAACGGAGGCAGGAGCCGCTCCAGCTCCTGCGGGATCACATGCTGTAGGGCGTTCGGCAGTGTCTCAAGAAGCGAAGCAAGCAGCGGGGGCGTGGGGGGTCCCACTGGTGAACCACCATGCACAGTTGATCGCGTGCTGCGGCCAGCACAGAAAGCAAAGAGGGTGAGGATCAATGCCACTGACACCAGTATGGCAAGAGCACTACGGGGCTCTGCCATCGACACCATGAGGCCGGCGCGCGCAAGTGGCAGGTCGAAGTCCATGGCAGCGAAGACGAGGCTATCGTGTCACTTCGCAGGGCAGTGCAAGGGCCTAGTAGGCTGTGGATTGACAGAACCTCGCTCAGCCGACCCAGTTGGCACGTACAGTGACCTAGCAAAGATATGTAGCAACGACAAGGACGTGCCTACACGTGCAGCGGAGGACTGTCCTCACATGTTGCCCATACAAAGCTGACCACCATTTATGACTGCTTGATATGCAGACATGTCCGTCCATGTATTGCACACAGACCAAGGTATGCTGTCGAGAAGCTCACAAGGCTGTTCCTGTGCTGTACATGTTCTTACGCTGTGCAGCTCTCTGCTCCCAGCTTCACAGAATGCGAACAGTCTCTCGTCCCGCAGCCGAAAAGAAGCCGAACAACCTCAAAAGGGGGAGCATTACTCCGCAAATTCCAGATCATCAATTCCCGAATTCACAAATTCAAAAAGGTGTAACCTAGCAAACTTGAATGCAACCAAATTCGTACATGCAACAAAGTACTGCACATGTTGGGCATGCTGAACTGAATAGTGCTGGACTGCGCTGCGCACCGACATTGTGGCAAGATAAGTATCAACAAAAAGGGGGCTAATCAACACATATGATAACATCAGAATCAGCCCCAACACATGGTTTCTTTGCCACACTGTCAGACGTTTCATCATCGGAAGAGAGGCATATATGTACGGATGCTCCCGTCTGAGTAAGTTGCCCTCGTCCCCACCTCGCGGGCGTCGCACTGCCAGCGTACCGCTGAATCCCCAGCTGAACCAAGCCTCGTCCCCTCCAGAGCGAAAGTGCACTGCGTGCTTCCGCGTCAGGGTGAGGTTTCTGGAAGCCCAACAAAGACAACTGTTGCAAATCGCTCGGGCCCAGGCAGGCCCATCCCGCTGGCACCCAGCCGATTAGCATAACTCGCCCCTCGTTCTCGCACCATGAAGCATGCCAGAGACGGCTGGCACTGAGGCGGTAGCGATAACCTTGGTGGATACGGCCCATGCGGACTTTGCCATCGGCGCAAGTCATGGGATGAGAGCCCTCGGGGTTCTCGATCCATGTACCTCCTATGTCCTTTTCCGAGATATTGCACAAGAGGCTCGGCAGGCACGAGTTCTGGGTGTCCTTGTGAGGTGGCACTTGTTTATCGACGGACAGACTGATGGCCAGGAAAGAGTCTCCTGGAAACTCCTGAGTCAGAAAGCGTGTAAGCAGCTTCGTTGTCTCCGGGTAGTCCTTGGAAAGCCTCCTCACGCCGCCTTTGACATGGACGTAAGCTCCGAAGTAAACATCCGTGCCAAGCTCGCTGAAAACCCTCTGGCTGAAGTGTCTCAGATCCGAGCGGCTTATCTCGCCTTGGTCGAGCAGTGCATATGCCCGGTGTTCCAGCGGTTGCTGGGAGGTGTCTTCCTCCCTGTCCATTGCAGAGCAGTGCATCACCGGAATGCCCCGAAAAGGGGGAAACTACCGGAAAACAGGCTTGCTAGAGCAGAGGAGGCTTGAGGGACAGGCTTGCTAGAGCAGAGGAGGCTTGAGGGAAGATTACAAAACTGAGAGCAGACGGAGGGTAGGCACCTGAGACTGGGAGTTTCGAATTGATTGGCGCCCTGCCCCCCCCCCCCCCTTCCCCTACCTCCCTTTCCCTCGTCTGTGGGCAGTTCATCCCCAATCCCGCAGCAGCACGTGGAGAGACGTATGAAGTTCTGCTGCGCCTCGACAAAAGTACGCCTGAGAGAAATCCCGACGCCTGACAAGGTACTGTGTATGTAGCGGGACTGTTTGCAGGGACTGTAGACAGCACAACCACCCGGACTCTGCTTTCAAGGCCGGGGGAAGTGACAGCACCTGAGCGCCCTGCCTGTCAAACAGGTTAAGCGCTTCAGTGGCTTGGGAGAGCAACGTCAAAGGCACATGGCCCTGGAAAACCGAACGACAGAGGAGCTTGCATGGAAGGTATACCCTAGCGGAGATGCCCTGAAGTTGAAGGAGAGAATGGACCTTAAAAGAGAGCCGGAGCGCTTCCACACAGGCACCTTGGTGCGTGGGCTCTGAAAGTCTGGAGTGGATGCACAGCGATTTGCGGGCCCTCTTCCCATCGCCTACCAGCAGCAAAATCTGATCATCAACAAGTTTGGGCCATAGGAAGGGACCAGTAATTTTTTCGGGCCGTATAATGTGTACCGCTCCCAGGTACGGCTGTTCAGTAAAGTCCTTAGAGGGCCGCAGCATACAGTCTACGAGTCCTTTCTCTGATCGCACAAGTAGTAACTGTCTCTCTAGCAGGTACTCAAGGGAGGAGGGGCTCTCCTGTTGCGGGTCCTGCAGCCAGTGTGCAACCCACTTAGAGCAGTGGTCCCGCCACTGCGTGCGGTCCTGAGCCATGTCCTCCCAGTAGGGTATCTCTCGCGCCCACGGCCATTCGTTATACACCCTCTGAACACGGCGGATAAGAAGGTCTGAGAGCCAACTAGCACGAAGACCCCCATGCGGTCGAATGTACCTGCTACTGCACTGTCGCAGCAGCCGGGCCATAGGCTGCCGTTCCACCGTCCTAGCGAGGTGCCCCAAGTAGCTCCACTGCCTCGTGAGCCAAGTTTTGCGCCAATCAGGTCCTTTGTTGAGGCGGCACATAACCTTAACAGCTCTCCGACGACTGATTACATTGTCGACCCACGACAATAAGCCATCCGTGGGGATGCGGAAAAGCGAGAGTAGGTACGTGGTTTTAGCTGCCTCCAATTTTCGTAAGGCGTCCTTGGTGGGCATAAGCAAGGGTGCCGCCCAAGCCCATTTGGAGGTTATGTAAGTATCAAAGATGCGCAAGCGAACATGCGCAGGTGTGCCCCCTGCATCCATGATACGTTTGAAGGCAAAGTACGAGTTACTGGTTCTCCGCATGAGGTACCCGATGATACCATGAGCCTGGGGTGAATTCGACAGAGGAACTCCAAGAAAAAGCAGTTGCGACTCTATCACCAAGGGCGTGGGGCTACCTCGCAGCCACACACCCGGGCTCCACGCGTCGTGCGATTCCATAACCTTAGTCTTTTCGGCATTCACCGTCAGTCCGATGGCCTGCAGCGAGTCAACTAATTGCTGGAGTTTGAGCTGCAGGGCCTGTGGTGACTCAGCAAATACCAAGACATCATCAGCATATACTATGAAGTGCGGGAGTCCTAGGTCTGGCCCCTCATTCAATGGCAATTGTCTGTTAAAATGGTCATGGAGGGGAGCTACAAAGAAGTCGACCACTCGAGAGAAAACGTCCGCGCTGTAGGAAGTGCCCTGCATTAGCCCCCTGCCGAGGGAGACTGTATGGTTCCGGCCCCCAAGTGACAGCTCCACCTGCGTGCCTTCAAGGAGGCGAAACAGGGTCTCACATTCCTTGCTGGGTGCACAGTGCATTAGCCATCTATGTACCGCATGTATGTCCAAGGAGTCGAAAGCCGCGCGTATATCCATTTTCGCAACGAAAGCACGTCCCTTCACATGTTTCAGCAACTGTAGGGCAGATTGTGCCGCCATGACCCCATCAGCGACCTGGACCCCCTTACGACACCCAATTTGGTGACCGGAGTGAGGGGGTGCACACCTGTGTACTCTCGCCATAACCACCTTAGAGAAGATGCGTCCCAGCACCGGCGTCAAACATACCGGACGCAGGTCCTTAGGCTGAGACGGCCTGGCGATTTTGGGCAGAAGCACGATTTTCCCCCGCTTCCAGCTCAGTGGAAGAGGTTTGTCGCCTTGCATCAACTGTGTGAAGTAACGAGGTATGCGGTCCTCCTTGTCTCTAGAGAGCAGGTATTGAAAGCCTTCGTACGTAGTGCCATCTAAGCCCGCGCTAACCCCGTGCTTGAGGCCCTTGAGGGCTCGGCAGATTTCCTCCTTGGTACAGGGAGCCACAGCGACGCCCCCATGACGAGCGGAGAGCTGTTCCAGGTGCCCCGGGAGGAGCGGCTGACCCTGTCGAGCAAACTTTTGATCATAGAAATGAAAGAGGTCGGCCGTTGCCTTGTCCAAACCTCCTGCTCGGTGAATGTAAGAACCATCTGTCTGACTACCACTAGCGCTGGCACGCATGTGTGCAATCGCCCTGGCATTGCCTGCCCTCGCATCCTCCAGGAGCTTGGTTTTATGAGCCGATTTCGCCTCCACTCTTTGTTGATGGATCTCCTGCATCAGGGCCGCCTTGACATCGGGCTCGGTGGCCGTTTTCCTCCGGGCGATCAAATCCCTGACCTCAGTAGGATCGGTATACCTCAAGGATCTGGGACGAGAGCTTACTCCAGGAGTCCGAAATGCAGCATTAAAGCACGCATCGTCCCACGAAGATTGGCCTTGCAGAGCATCCCATAACAGGTCCCCGGACACATGCCACTTGCCACAGAGGGTCCTAGGTGGTCGTACTCGGCGTGCAGGCCCCCGTCTACTCCGAAATGCAACAGTCATCACGAGTGCGTCGTGGTCCGACGGCAGTGCCATGCGTAAGTCCTCCCGCTTATCGAACCTCAGCTCGGCCCCTCTCACCTGATGGAGGAAACAGTCGATGGGGGAAGCGGATCCTCGGGCATGCCATGTGTTTCCCAAGAACGGCGACGGCTGTAGTCCTGTTTGGAAAACGAATTCTCTATAATGCATCATTCCCTCAAATTCATCAAATTCGGCGTGCACATTCTGATTCAAATCATGCCCTATGATCACATTGTGTTCCCATCGCAAAGCGGAGTGCTGCTCAAGCAGCTTGCCAATCCCGGCCTCCCAGACCTCGAGGGCGTCGCTTCGTTGTTGATGGGGGAAATGCAAGGCAGCGATCATCCAAGGCGAGCCCAACATGTCCCCATGTACCAGAATTCCAAAATCATGCACATGCAACTGAGTGCTCCTAAATTCCAAGTCCAGCGCAACTGCCACAATTGAGCAACGGTGAGACAGTTTAGGGTTAGCAACGAAAAGCTGGTACTCTTTACCTGCAATGGTCTCCATGTAAGTGCGGGAGCATCCCTCAGCTAAGCCTCGAACATCCCCTACTTCTTGCAAACACAGTACATCTGCCGGCACCTCTACCCCTGTTAGGAGAGTGGACACATGTTGTGTACCCTTGCCATGCAAATTCCATGTCATGCAGGTGATACTGTCCTGAGCACAGGTTGTCTTATTCGGAAGTGCCTCCCTCCCCTGTCCCTATTGGGCGTCGAAATGCCGAAGGACAACATCCCTATCTACCCCCAAAACCGCTGCAACCTGGTCCAAATCCAAGAACCAACCGGACTCGTTACCCTTAGCATCCACCAGCATAAGGGTATTGTGTGCCCTGTCCTTGGTATCCACATGATGCAGCACCTGAATGGAGTTAGCCCAGACACGGCCCCGCCAATCCATGTCAACCATGTGTTCATTAAGAAAACGTTTACACAGGTCGCGGGTCGACAGAATGGCCCGAATTTTGGCCCGTTCCGATGCCGATCTGTTTCGAGCAGCCCAGAAGTTGCAGCCCTCTTGTCCTGCTACCTGGGACGTGTACTTGAGGTTCTTAATGCTCTGCACTAACACCCCTTGCAGTTTTCGCTGTTTCCAGATATCGTCCTCCGGATAGTTGATATCAATCCTACAAAAGCTGCAGCGCACATAGGGGATGTACACTCTGCCCAGTAGCGGGGTGCCCCTAATCTTCTCAAAGATTGATTGAACGTCTAGCTCGATATCTTGGCGTCGGCTCTCTCGCCAACCTCCAATCACTATCTGCAGTTCGTCGACTTCGGCAGGCATGCCCGATGCCGGGCCCCGATATCGAGGCGTGCTTCCTCCTGTACCTCGTGCGCCATGCTGAGACGGGGCCGGGCTGACACTGCGAGTTGGTGGAGCAGACTTAAGATGCTGGAGCTCTTTTTCCAAATCCCTCATTTCCTGCTGCATGCGCTGCAAGACTGCATCCTGAGCATCCGCCCGTCTGGACAGATCCTGCTGGCCATCCCCAAGGTGCTTGATTCCATCCCTAAGGTGCTGCAACTGGGCTGCCGACGCATCCATCTGAGCTGCCATATGCCGCTGAGTAGCGGAAATGTCCCTTAGGTCCGTGCGGAGTCCTGCCAGCCACGGCGGCTCAGCGTCCAGGTGAAAGTGTTCTGGACCCTTGGTCTTCCCCGCTTCCGGAGCTACGTGTGAAGGTACCTGGCTTGGCGTAGTTTGTCCATGGAATAGCGGCGGGTACCCACCAAAGTTCGGGGCACGATTACTGGTAGGAGAGTGCCTAGTTCTGGCACGCTTCTCTGGGCTCATGTTCCTATCTGGCAGGCCGGCCGTCGGCAGGTTCGTGACACTGTCCAAACTACCATTATCAGGGATACGCGTATTGTCTCGGCGCGAAGCCAAGGGCATTCCCGTGGCTGCCGCCAAGGCTTCCGCAGCAATTGCTGCGTCAGTGAGTTGAGCATTCGTGAAATCCTTCTCGACTTCCATGAGTGCCGTAGGTGCAGGCAAGCGGTCATGGGGGGGACGGTGCTCTCTCTCCCGCGCTCTCCCTCTCTCTGTCTCTCGCATCTTGTTGTCCCTCTCCTTTCTATCTCTGTCTTTGTCCCGAAGCTCTTGCCACTCTCTGTTCTGTGCTTCACGGAGCAGGCGTTGAGAGACATCCAAAGCTGTTTCAGCCACCTTATCCCCGCCGCCTTCCTCCGGGATGGGCCCCACACCTGCAGGTGGGTCCACGAGCCGGTTCACCCCCGGCAGCAATTGGGTTTCTTCGTCCGTCATGTTCACGGGTCAGGAGGCACAAACCGAACAACCACACAGAGCTCGCCCTGAGGAAGCACTTACGCCAACGAGACGAGGAGTGACTCTACAGGACCGGGCTCGGGACTCAAATCAAGGCCTACTGGTCGGTTTAGGGGTTCAGGGAGGCCAATAAACCCTCCAACGGAGTTTGTATTTATTTAGGCAGGGAGGGTTTAGGGTTTAGGGCTCATGCGTGGTCCACTATCGGTTTGGGGGTTTAGGGTTTAGGGTCATCAAGTCCGGTTTCAAAAGGGTTGAGGGTTCTGGGTTTTTGGGTTTCGGGTTTCTTTGACGCTCCCACTCGGCAATACCAGGAGAGGTCTAACTGTAAGGGTTGAACGATTGTAGCTTCTCTCCTGCATTGCTAGGTCAGGCCCTCCGGGGTGTTATCTGAAAGGCTCCGGGCAAGAGGCGAGTGCTACGCTGTTGATCCGAACAGGCATCCTTGAGCCAAAATGGTTAGGGGTTTAGGGGCTAGACCCGGATGATTTTGCAGGTGCTTTTGCGTTGTTGAGTCCGTTTTGGGGTGGAGAGTTTAGGGCGCAGAGTGCTGGGGCTTCGGGTTGCGAGTTTGCTAGGGGTTTTGATCTGGGTTTCCCAATACTGAACCCGCTGCCGAAGACGGAATCAATCTGTGACAAACACTGAAAGCGGCTTCGTTTTGGATGGCGTGCTTCGGGCCTAATACACCATTGTGCCGTTTCCCCTGTAAAACACCAGAAGGTCCACCAAAAAGACAGTGATGCTTTAACCCGAACCCGGCCTGTTGGAAACAGAGAAGACGTCGAAGCAGTTAGCGGTCTGGATGGAATAGTTCAGCAGATGCCCCGTCGCCTCCTGTCGCGAGAAAGAGTCCAAACCACCAAAAACCCTATAAACCCTAAAACCCTATGAACCCTAAGCCCTATAAACCCTAAAACGAGCTCAAAAACCGAACGAACCAAGGGCAACTCCAAGTTCCTAGCCATGGTAGGACGACCGGCGCCTCGGGCTGCTTCTTGGCTTAAGTACCCACCACTACATGGGAGTTTACGAAAATACGGGACCCTAATTGTCCCTAAATTTTAGGTTCCTTTTGATCAGGACCCCAAAATAAGGTACCCTTAGTTTTCGGAAACTCCCAAACCTTACAGTGATGAGGGAAGCCTGTCCTGGAGCATGTTGACGTGCTCCTTGATGATGATACCTTAGAAGGGGCCCCCACCCTGTAATAGTGGTATAATAGGAATATAACAGGGCCCTAATATAATCCTTATAGCCACTATTACAGGGTGGGGGCAGCTTCTAAATGATACCTCAACTCCAGGCTCCCGAGTGCTCGGTGTGCAGCTGCCAGGATTGAGGGCTTCGCTTGTTTTCTCAGGTTTTTGACACTCACACTCGGACAAGCCTGGCAAGGTCTGCAGCAATACTGCTTGGACGACGCATCAACTAACAAGAGGGTTCCCTAGTTCGCAAGTGCAAACCAGCATGGCAGGATGTAGGGTTTAGGATTAAGGTTTAGAGTTTCAGCACTCACAACTGGGACAAGCCTGGCGAGGCCTGCAACACCACCCTCACGGAATAGGAATAGGGTCTGTAGCTGTTGGGGTTCCTGTAGATACCCTTTTCCATCAGCCTAATCCGAGCGTCTGGATTCCCTGTAACCCGACTGCTGGCAAAATCGCAGACACCTTCACCACACGAAACGCTACATGAATTTCGCTGGAAAAACGCATGAAAAGATCACCAACTTCTTGACACATGCACCGCTAAACCCTGAATCCTGACTAAAGCCGAAACCTTTTAAACCCTTGAAACCTGGCAAAGGTGCAATCCTCCTGTGCCAGACGCTGCATGCCATCCGAGAGAGCAGAAGGAGGCTGCCTGTTCCTGTGCTACTACAGTATACGGGTACTAGCTGGCTACAGGGATTACAAAATAAGCAATGATCAAAGTACCAGGTCCGGCTCTGGCGCTCTGAGCAATCCGGACTTTGGTTTTCAAAGAGAACCGGGTCCCTAACCCCCGTGGTTTTGGATGTACGGTTTGATGGTACATGGGCGGCGCTGGATTCTCACCTGAAACATCTCAACTCCTTCAGCTGGTAGTAAGCAGGAGATGCTATGGGTTGCTCGATATAGTAGAAGTAAAAGTAGCACGAACATGAAGACTAACAGCAGAGAAGATACTCCGGGCCTATCTAGGGAACCTTAAAGACGAAATCATGGCTTTATCCACCACCCTAAACCGCGACTTGCAACCCCCGAATCCTGAACAGTAGGCCCTAAAAACCCTAAACCCGTAGGGTTTAGGGCTCAGGGTTTAGGGTTTAACCCCTTCACTCTTTAGATGCCATCGGAGGGCAAGTGCTCGGGGTGCTGGAGCTTCAAGTTCTCGAGTTTCTCGCGGAGCTCCCGAGACTTCAAGTGGCCACGGAGGAGGCAGAAGCATGGGATCCTCGGGCTTAGGGCCGTTTTGCTCAAAAAGAGACTTGGCGCTGGGTTTAGGGCCTAGGGCTTAGGTCTACTGTGTGATTTAGGAATGTTTAGGCTTAGCTCGGGCTTGGCGAAGGCAGGATAACTAAGTTAGGACACTAAAGACTCAAGACAATTCGAGTGAGGGGTCAGGGTGTAGGGTTTTCGGGCTGAGGGCTTAGAGCTTAAGTGCAGAGGGGCTCTGCAGAATGTGTTGCCCTTAGGTTTAAGTACGGGATGAGTCTGGGCTTTCGACCCTCATTCTCTGGAACGAGCGGCAAGGACTCAAAGGACCAGAAGTTAACTAAACGGGCTTGCGGATTTGAGGCTTGAGGGTTTCGCCTTAACTCCGAGGTTTAAGGGCTAACGGCGTCTAGGGCTGAGGGCCTTGGGGGCTTAGGGACATCAGAGCCTGTCAGCTCTGGCCCTAAAATCCAAAAAGCCCCCTGCCACACCCTTACAATAGACCTTTCATGGTACCCTTAACGGAGCTTCTAAAACCTATACACAACCTGTGTCTGCGAGGGACTTAAGCACCTTAGAGGCATCAAGAGGTCAGTCAGTACATCTGGATTCGGCAACATACCTCGAATCCCATGTGATACAATGCCTGAAACAAAAGAAACCATACCGAAAATAGGGGACCCGAATATAGAACCCTAAATAGTAGGATCCGTTTTACAAGGACCCCAAAATAAGGGGTATTCGCAAACTTCCATATGGATCTTTTCTACAACTCAAAGGATACGACCTGTCCAAGGTCTGAACGAAGGCTCTCAGCAGCAAGCGACTTATCCTCTAAATAGAGACTCATCGCGGCGAGCTCCCATTTTCAGGGTCGAGGGTTTAGGATTTATAGATTTTTTTTGACACTCACACTCGGACAAAGCCTGGCAAGGTCTGCAGCGATACTGGTTTGTCAGGGTTTTGGGCTCATGGTTTAGGCCTCTAGCCTCGGCTAGAGGCTCCACTATTCGAGTGATCTTCTATAAGGTTTAGAACTCGACCTCCAGGCTTCTTGAGCTTTTTAGAATTCACTTTTTGGATTCTCGGGTTTTTGCTTTAACGCGATAAGGTTCTAGGGTCATTAAGTTTAGGGTTCAGTGATTGAAGCTTTTGCTTGGTTGGCCTTGGTGTTTTTTCACTAAAGGCCGGCGGGACATGGGAACGAAGCTTTGGATAAACCGCTTCTTCTGGGTTGCGATACGGGTCACTAGAACGCTCGTCACAAGCTCTGCCGAAGTCAAGGTCTACTATAGGTCACTCTAAGGATTCCAGCAACTTTACGAAACAAATTCTGCAGGGAGTACAACCAGTGTACCGCAAGGTTCCTGTACTACAGGTTACATATACTACGATATGTATGTGACATGTGTATATATATATATATATATATAAATATATTGCTATATCATAATATTTCACAATATAATATAATAAAGCTGGTTTTGAGGCTTGGCACCGTAATCGCTTCCCCTCCAGGGCCATTTTTGCCCAGGAGACTGTCTCATAATTACAATAATATACCATAATATACCAGAATATACAATTACTATAACGTACCAAAATATACCAGAATGTATAAAATACCATGATGTACCATAAGAATACCAGAATATACTATAATATGCCATAGTATACCAGAATATGCTAATTATAATGTACCATGATCACCAGATATACCATAATCTACCAGAATATACTATAGTATACAATAACATACTACAAAGTACTATAAGTAATGTACTATGAGGTGTGCTTGGACAGCCCCGCGGCGAGACCAGGCCCATAATTGCACACATCCAGACGGCGAAGAGGAGAGCAGCCACGACGTGCGCAGAGTGGCTTGTGGCCATTGCATAGACCTGACGTATTCCGAGGCTCAGACCCTGTGCAGTCGGAGGGATTTCCGAGGGTAGTGGTGAATGGTGGTGGTGCTGCTGCTGCTGCTTCTGCTGCTGCTGGTGCGGCGCAGCTGTTGATCCTGCTGCGGATGCTCGTGACGATGATGGCCCGGATGATGAAAGCTGCTGATTGTGGGATGCGTGGAGATGTTTGGTGGTTTTGGCGGGTGACCCTCGTCCTGGACACAGCCGCCGAAGCCTTCGACTCTGTTCTGCCTAGAATTCGATCCACGGTCAAGCCTCAATATCGCTTTATGGACACCCAAACGGCATCGTGGCCATCAGTTTCACAGCAAGGTCTCACTTTCTCCTAGGTTTGGCCATTTGACTGCCAGAAAGCTTCGCGCCGATGAGGGTCCTCTCGGGGGCTTCCAGCCGGGCCTTATTATCCCAATCCCAAAACCTCAAGGAACAACCACAAGCCCGAACCCCCAAGCCCACCCAAGAACCTCCGAGGCCTTTCTACTACCCGCCTTTCTTCCCACTAAACTTAAGCCCTGACCCAAACTTACACCCCAACAAAGCTTCAAGCCCCAAGACACGACTGCGTCCCGACTGCAGCTGCTCAAGGATGGACGAGCTCCCGCTCTTGGCCTTGAGGGCGGCGCCGTGGTCGACCTCAAATTGTCAACGGGGAGCTTCAGTGCTTTCTTTAAGGGTTTCAGAAGCTTCGTAAAGATGCCGTGTAAGGGTGCTTCAGGGCTTTGTAAAACAGTGGGATGCCTTCGTCAGGGGTTGAAGTAATCCGGATCTTGCTGGTTAGGTTCCCATACTAGGCGAGTTTGCTTGCAGACACAAACGACACGTCAGGTTGAAGGTTTCGGATTGTTTGTCAAAGACGTTTAGGGTTGTTGCTTCGGTTGGAGTCTGAGCCGAGGGCATCACAAGAGTATATATTGTACATGATATTAAACATATATGTATGCATGTATGCATATATATATATATACACTATACACACTATATAGTATCTGATATTGGTCACGAGGATATGCCAGGGTTTCGGTTTACAAGCTCAAGGACATGATCGATGGAGGGGACGGTTCCTCGAGGCTCTGGTTTTGCTTTAGTTTCAGGCATGTATAACAGAGTACAATATAGTATAATATAATAACGTAAGATACTAGAACAGAATAGAAGATGATAAGGTAGTGTAGCCTGCCTAGCGGACTGAGCCGCACTGCATGCATACGAAAAAAAACACCCCTTCGAAGCCTGCGACACCTGCTGAAAACGACCACGAAGATGCAAGGAGTGCCAGTTAGCCCCAAACTCAGATTTAACCACAAAGCTTCGGGGGTTCTGTCTTGCGGCTTGCGCTTTTCCTCTTATGCCAATGCTGCTATATGAGTTCTCTAATCTAAGGTCCCTTTCTGGCTCCCCAAGATGGTACGGCACCCTTGTGAAAAGGCCCCTGAGAAGGACGACCTTAGAGAACTACCCAAAAGGGCTCCTTTAGGGGTTCCTTAAGGGCTCCTTCATACGCTTTAATTCCGTTTTGGGCAGTCGGCTGCAAGAACAGCTTCGGACGTGGGTTCAAGCCGCAAGGGCTGTTCGTCCTGCTGAGGCTTCACCACCCATCTATCTATCTATCTATTACACTGTATTACACTACGGCATCTATCATCTTCGAGTATATTCTATTGTATTATATCATAGTATGTTAGAGTATATATCCGTGATGGGTGTAAGTCTTCAGATAGATAAATAAATAGATAGATAGGTGGCATGACAAGGCCTTGAGCCCTGAACCTGTAGCACTGTAGACCCCACCAAACCCCTCAAAGCCTTGTGAACTGAAACCCTTTTGACACCGGGGCTATGCAAAGGCCCCGAGAAAACCCTAAACCCTGGCCCCCGAAGCCCTAATGGCGTACAGGCGCCAAACCTCCAAACCCTCCACCTCGTAGAGGTTCACGGCACTTGAGTTCTGCGTGGCCTTGTCGGCGGCACTGCTCTTCCTTACTTTCAGTCAAAGTCTTTGGGTCAAGCTTTGGGTCCATAGTTTGATTAGGGTTTTGAGTTTTGCTTGCGGGGTTCCAGGTTTGCGCTGCACGATCGTACCACTGAGCTCCAAGCCCAAGTTCGCAGCACGTTCTCGGGCTTAGGGTTTAGGACAAATTAGGACAAAGTGTGGTTGCCTAGCTGGTTTCTACTCAAGCTCGCACCAGGCAGGTTAGGCCTCACAAAAAGTCCGGCTCACACCTTTGAACCAAGACACAAAAGGGTTCACAGAGAATCAATCCAGCCACCAGTCCCCATCATCCATAGAAAATCCTACCAACCAAACCGTCATACCCCGAAAGACTCAGGCACTGATGTAGACACCGTCGGAGGGGCAGAACAGGCGAGACTGTTTCAAGAAATGGTTGTATATTGGCTTTCCTTTAAACATATTTCACACTGAGGTCTTGTGTGATGTTGCACGTAAGGTGTTGTGGGGTCTTGTGGGGCCATATAGTATATACGGCTTGTTTCAGGGAATCTTCGCAACACCAAATGCAGGGAGGTGTCTGGACATCCACCGTGTCCCGAAAGGCCGCGCAGCCGACGATGACGAGAAAGCCGAGAAAACGCATTATGCGCTTGCCGACAGGGCCGAGAAAAACGGAGTGAAGTCTCTGACAACGACAGCCTCTGACACTTGAGCCCACAAAGGCTGTGGCGGCAGCTGTTCTAATCTCGGTTCAAGGTTTAGGGCAACTGGGGTCCTAGCATGCATGATTAAAGTTGTAAGTCCGTGTTGTGTTCCTTGGGGTCATGGGTTTGGCACAAGCAGCTTGCACGATCCACGTGATCACTGCTGAACAGCGAACATCGGACTGGAATCCAAGCGACGAAGCGCAGAGACCGGCACCAAGAGCTGAAAGATACCACCAACCGCAACTCCACCACAAGCCTACTGCCTACATAGACGATGTGAATCCCTTTTGCCTCCCAGATCCGTTCAAGGTTCGAGGTTTACGGCTAAAGGGGCCCCAACCCGAACCAGAAACCGGAAACCCTTGAATCTCAACTCCGCAAGAGTACTAAACCCCAAACCGTCAAAATCCTAGTGCAACATTCAACCCCCTCAAATGCGGCCTGTTCGGTGCTGTTCTAGAGCCCCAAGAACCTCTCAGTTTCCTACTTCCGTCGCCTAGGCCGGAGAGGTTCAGACAGGAACCTGCACAGTTTGACGAGGTTCTCCACATCTCCAATCTCTGCAGAGAACAAGAGAAAACGAGATAGAGATCGAGAAAACCAATCTACGAATACATACACGCACCCAGAAACATGTGTTTATATGTGGCGAGTTAGGCTAACTACAGGGGCAGCTCTGGATCTTCGGTCCATCCTAAACCCCTCAACCCAGAACCCTCTCCTTCGCGTCTCCATCTTTGGGCGCATGGAGTATTTCGGGCTTCCTGTCCGCCAAGTTGCGGCTTGCACTCTTTCAGCCGCGGGCTTCACAGGGTTCCAAAGCAAAACATAGTTAATATAGGTGCCTTACAATTGGAGTAGGGTTTTGATTTTGGGTGATATACTATCCATTACGAGAAGGAGCCCCAAAAATTGTATTGGTGTTTGTTCAAGCCCCTATATTAGAAGGTTTACGCTCTCGCAACTTGGACAAGCCAGACGAGGTCTTTCGGTACGACGGCGCACTACGGGGTGAGGTGATGCTGGAAGGGATCCATTCCTAAGGAGACCTTGCACTAAGCCACTAAGCACTTCCCCACACCTGCCGATACTCTAAATTTTCTATCCTGAAGCCTAGATCCCTAACGATCGTTACACCCTTACACGCCCCGAACCCTACATCCGACTCTTCTAACGGATTCTAGCGGTCTGATAATCAGCCCGAAGCAACCACTGACGTCTTGAACCCGAACAGACCCCAAGGGCGGGTCCCTTGGAGACATCGTTCGCATAGTCATAAGACCCAGGACCTCGGCACGTTTACGGTGTAGGGTTCCTTGAAAAAGTTCCTATAAGGGCTCTATAATAGGATAGAGGTAAGGTTTAGGTAATTTTAAGTTTAGGGTTCAGGGTTTAGCATTCAGGTTCGATCACATTCTCGCTCTCGGACAAGCCAGACCTCTAGTATTCAGGTTCAGGGTTTAGGGCTATCGCCAGAAAGACGAAGCTGCACAGCTCCAGAAGGCAAGCTTGCCTCGTTTCGACATGTGCGTGAAAAACACCACATACCACAAACCTTTTGAACTTTGAGCACGACCAGAGGCCCATAGATGCCCTACCTAATTCCCAGAGACCCCTGACAACCCCTAAACCCTTTTGCTGCAGGCTTGCTTGCAAGGACGCCTGGTAGTTTGCCGCTCTTCCGACAGTTAGGACTGTGCTCGAGACAGCCCCCCTAGCTTCTGAGCATGCGACTGAGAGAGCTGATTGACAAGGCAGATTAGTTCGAACTTGTCGTGAGCATGTTGGTGAATGGCACACAGTAGAGGAGAATACGATAGCACATGATCATCCTGCACGTAGACGTCCAGAAGAAGCCCGTCAAACTTGAACTGCAACCAACAGAACCAGAGTTGACATACTTCCAGAGGCCACTAAACCCCAAACCCTCAACCTTAAACCCTTTGTTGCAGGGGCTGCGGCGCACCGTGCCATAAACCCCAAACCCTAAACCCTGACGTGTCTGGGTTTGGGCCCCCCTGCCAGGCCCTTGGCTTGAAAGCTGGCCCTGCATCCGGAAAGCATTCGGATGTATGCGGCCGCTGTGCACTCAGGGTTTAGAGTTCAGGGGGTTCCGCCTCCTCCTCCTCCTCCTCCCACCACGACATAGGAAAGATAGCAGCTCCAGGAGTATTAACATTATTAACAACAAGTGCAGAAGTGACATGAAATGATTTTTGGGGCTCCCCTCCACGGCAATGCTACGAATCCAGGTCGCTCGCACGGAGCTGCTGGATGCGACCGAACACCCGTAGAACACTGTCAACCCTCAGTAGCCGCAGTGTCTGGCTCCGCTCAAAGAACACGAACAGATCTCGGTCAGACTTGTGACAACACCCGAAACCCAAAACCGTAAGCCCCAAAACCCAAAAGCCTAAAGCCGTATCCTTAAGGTATCCCCACCTGCAGCTTTAACCCACGGCCTTCGCAATGGGGCTCATGGTTTCATGGGCTTGGGTTTCTTGCTGCTTTGCAATTCACAGGATAGGGTTTAAACCCTGAACCCACAGCGTACCTCGGGTGCAGATCCATGTGTTGTGCTGAAGCCTCTATTGATAGGCATTCACGGTTACTCCAAACCACACCGTCCATCTGTCTTACATACAATCCTGATGGAAAAGGTCTTGTTTGCAATGACTCGTACCACCCGCGACTCTAAAAGCCAAAAACTCCCTCAATCCGACGCAACCCTAAATGCTCTCGACGCCGGCCTCCCGCGCAGACGTGCCGAAGCCCCACTTGGGTGATCGCACTGGCACCGAGGACCTCAAGACACTGGAGGGGGCGTGGTAGGAGTTACCTGGACCCCAAATAACCAACCTTTTCAAGGTTTTCTAATATGGCTTCTTTGTTTTAGTCCTGAAAAAGTAGGTTACTTGGTGTTAAGGTATGGCTTTAGCAGGGATTCTGGGATTTTGATGGTTAGGGCGAAGTTTAGGCGCACAGGATTTAGGGCTTAGGGTTTCAAGTTAGGATCTACGTTCAGACTGCGGCTTAACTTAGGCTTCTATCTTCAGAGATTTCTACGATTCAGGGCTTAGGGCTGTGGATTGGAGGCTTGAGGGCTTTTGTGCCTCCCGCATTGCTAAACGAGTCTCGGGGCCGAGACGGGATAATGAACAAGTTTGCGAAGTTCTCACAGGTTTGGGTTTAGGGATTCAAGGATTAGTGTTTAGGGCGGGGTCGATGGTCAAGTCTAGGGTTTTTTTGCCTCCCACTTAGTCTACGGTTTAGAGTTGTGGGTGTAAGCTTCAGTCTAATGACCATGAACCCCTTGAGCACCAGACCCCTTGCGAGTCCTGACCCCTTGCTCGCCCGGGACCCCACGGCCCCCAGCCTGGCACCCGATTCAGCACGTGCATTTGGGTGTGTGCCGGCAAGAGCCCCAAACCCCAAAAGCCTAAACCCCGTGACCCCATACTCTACCCTACACCCCAAAACCCCAGATGGCCCTGGACCCTACACGAAACTTTAAAACCCCAACCCACGAAAAAACAGAACCCAGAAACTTAAAATCCCCCCACATGGGAAAGGGGAACACCATTGTCTCGGGCCATAGCTCCGCAATGGCTCCCCCTGTGTGATACCTCGGAGATGACGGCTCGGAATGCTGAGGGCTCTAGGGATGGGTTTAGGGTTTAGGCTTTGGGGATTTGAGGCTTAGGATTGGGTTTAAGATTGTAGAGGGTTTTTCCCTCCTACCTAGCAGGGAGGAAGCCCGCATTGCAGGGTAACTCCGAAGTAACAGACGAAGAGGGTTAGGGTTAGGGCTTTAAGCATCAACGCCCAGGGTGTAGAGTGGAGTTCGTGTAAAACTCTTGCACCATTCATTGGACACACACACACACGCACAGACCCTACCCGCATGCACGAAGAGGAAAACCAAAAGGGGCCCCTGCAACCTGGCACACAACACAGGGAGATATGGAATGTTGGTGCTCGACTCGTCGTCGTCGTAGTCGTCGTAGTCGTCTGTAATCGTAGCAGTAGCAAGGGCAGCAGGAGCGGCAGCCGCTGTAGGAGTAGCAGTAGTAGGAGCAGGAGGAGCAGGAGCAGGAATAGGAGCAGGAGCAGGAGCAGGTGTAGGAGTGAGTAGGAGCCGTAAGTTTAAGTATGACAGTTGTAATCGTCGTCGCCGTGGTGGGGCTGTTGCCGGAACTGCTTTACGCTCTCACAACCTGTCGGAACTGGTTTAACTATTGTAGCTCTCATCGTTCAAAGCTTTCCCGGCATGCCAGTCTTTTCAAGTCGGCCAAGCGAAGTCATCCTGGGGAAGTTTAAAATCAAATCGATCTGTCGTGGATTGGTATCCGACCCATGTTGGCTGTGTGATACGAGCCTTTCCCAGCTGTCTGGACCTACGGAATCCTCAGAACCTGCGGGAGATGCTGAAAGATTGCGGCCTTGTAGGCTTTCACATCGTCGAACTCCTGCAAGGGATCCGCGGCATCCGTCTGATACTTTTTTGGTATTGAGAAGAGCATGACTCCCTCGCTAGGCACCAAGAAGTTCAGCGCAATGGACATCACAATGTCGGCATACGAAAACCTGCCCGGGGCACTTAGTATTAGACTCTAGACTGGACCCTGTGCTCAGGCAGACGGTCAACATTGGGAGAGGGGTGGGTTTTCTTCCATCAACGTGCCTGTCATTCACCAAATACTTGCCTCCGCCCTCCTTGAGCGCTGCTCGAATCCGCTTGACTGCGTCCATGACAACTTCCAGTTTGCTCTGGGCATTCTCGCGCCGATACTTCATGGCAAAGACCCGCAGGGCAACGGTCATCACAAGCTTGGTGAGAAAGTGTGGCAGCATCTTCATCCAAGGGGGCGATAGAACCTCGATGGCCACACGGATGTCCCTCTTCGCAGCTTCCACAAAGGCGGCCCGGCCAAACTGGAGAATGACGTCGCTCAGATCATTCCAGTAGCGAAGCTTTAGAAGCGTCGCATCTGTCAGCGGCTCCTTCCCGGGAGCATTGCGCAAAGCCCACTCTGCAATGTCCATCGATTCCGTGAGAACACATGAACCGCTCCCCCCAGTGTTCGTGCCTTCGGGCTGCACGATGGCAATGGGAACTGTGAGCCGAGTCCAGTACCGCCTCTGCCACGGCCACAGCCCCAGTTTGTAACGTAGCCAAATCTCGTCAACGAAAGGCTCAAAGGGGCGTTTCTTCACGCTGATGGAGCAAGCATCTAGAATCCACATCACTTTGGCACTCCACGGAGAACCGGGCAAGCAGATCAACTCCATTTGCCCGGACATCTTGAAAACTCACCCTTCGCGCAGTCTACACCTTACTGTATCACCCACACCCTTTTCCCTAAGCCTTACGCCCGAAGGTGGAATCCCAACTTCTGTACCGCTCTGTCCAGATCGAGCCCGCTGTTGAAGAGCAACAGAGGAGTTCTCACAGTTCGGGGTTTCAAGTTTCGGCCTAGTGCCGAAAGCTGGGATGGTTCGGGGCTTCTCGACGGCGCCTTACTTTGCACCGGGACTTGTTCTTGCAGGCCGTCTCGCTTTCTGTGATTGTGCGCTTCGGCTTCAGGGTTTCTTCTGGGGTTTATGGTCGAAAAAGCCCCAAAGGCCCGAACCCCCTTGAGGGAGACGAAGTACAATAGTCGGATGTACCGGATATCGGATATCCGGCACGCCCAGATAAAGTTCGGATAGCACGCCTAAACCCGAAAGCCTTTCGAAACCCTTCAAGGAACCCTATTCTGTTTCTATTCAGGCTCGGGGATCTTGTTGGCTTCAGGGTTGAAGGTTCAGGGTCATGGGTTTTTTTTCCAGTATGGTACGCCCTGGCGGCGTGTATTTTCGCACAAGCATTTTGATGGATTTTAGAATAGTTGTCTAGGGTTTCGGGGTCAGGACTCCTTGATGCTGCCACGGAACGCCCCCGGGCCTGGCACTTCGGAGGTTTTGTAGCCTGCGCTGCCCGTGCTTTTGCGCCGTTGGGCTGAGACTTTCGAGTTTGCGGTTCCAGGGTCTTGAATTCCAGAGTTTTTATGTGAGGTGTATATAAGTTCAAGGTTTACAATCGTAGTTTTTCGGACCCTACTTGCGGGACTGCAGCCGCCGGAACGAGAGTTGAGAGAACCATGACCCGCAAAAATGAGCTGCAAGAATGTCAAGAGATAAGAAGAAAACATCAGCACAGACTCCCATGACCAACTGGCACACATGCAAACAAAGCAACAACGAATGACAACGACTCCACCATGCCACGGATTCCGCATCGCGAGTCCACAACCAACCAAACCCGAAGCCCGAATCCCCAAACTCTACTTTAGCGGCCTCATTAATTAGAGTAGGGCTTTGCGGGGGGTATTATGCTAATAGTAACAAAGACCCCCAAGTAGTATTGAAAATCTTTTCGGCACCCTATAGGAATACCCCAAAGCCACAAAGTGCGAAGGACGCCGGCCTCCGCGCTTGGAGTTCGCCGTGTACTTCGGCCCCTCGCGGCCGAAACGTGGCGACTGGGTGTAGGCGCCGGGGCCTGCTCAGACCGCAACTCGAAGCATTTTGTCCTTCGAAGTATTTGTTGACAGCCTTTCACTCGGACAAAACCTGTCAAGGTCTGTAGCCCGTATTAAGGTTTAGGGTTTTTGGTTGAGGGCTTAGGGTTTTTGGTATGGGCCGTTTTAATAGTTGGAATTTGGTTTTGGGGGCAGCTTTTACTCGAAGTGCTTTGGCTTCTATACACAGCTCCCAGCAGGTCACGCGAAGAGGGATGCCATGAAGGCGCATTCAACAAAGGCAGCACTTTGAGAGCCGCACCCGGGTTTCCAGCAGCGACGCTGATGTTTTTCAGGCTTTGCCTCTGCGATGTGCCGAAACCTCACAGCAAACTCCCCTCAGAGAAAAACACAGCCACCAGGTTGAGGTTGCCTGGCTCGGACATGCGATGGAATGGGTGGCTGACAGTGGGTATCAACGGCTTGCAAAATCGTGGAAATTAGGGCGCGTGCCGTACTTGTAACCGCTCCTGCTCAGTGTCTGTGCTGGCGTGTACCTGCACACAAATGAGGAGCCTGATAGCTGTGAACCTTTTGCATCAGGACTTTTGCTGTGAACCTCAAACCCGAAACCCTGAACCCTAAACGGCCTTTTTTTACACCTGGACTGCGCATATGTGGACTCGTGCCACACGGCTACCCTAAACACCCTTTTTAAGCACGGACTTGGCCCTAAACCCTGAACACTGACTAAGCAAACGCTGAAAGATCGACAGAACGGCTGCGACAGTGGCGCACTCTCCGGGGCCGGGTGATGTGGCAGGGCGAACTCAGCAGGCTTTGGACGGCAGCTGGATATAGCATGACTAGGGCTGTTTTGCCTCCTGCTTGGCTGAGTACACGAAGCAAAGCAGCAATAGGTACAAGGGTCCAGTTAATTCCACCTTGTTCTTCGTTACCAGGAGTCTAGCTGATTCCGAGCCTTGGTCCGGCAGCACCAGGGTTTAGGGAACATAAATCATGTTACGAAGGCTTTTTGCAGCATTGACTGACAGCCCTGATTTTCTCACCGGTCGATGGCAAACTTTGCCCCGAAACCCTGAACCCGTATCTCTTTCCCCACTTCCCCTTCAGACTGGCCAGGCTCGGGGTCTCGTGACCGGCCAGGCTCGGGGTTTAGGGCTTTAGGGTTCAGGGTTTCGGCGCTCACACTCGGACAATCCAGGCGAGGCATGTGGTTCGGAGTCTGAGGAGTGACACTTCACTATGGGAGGGACAGTCAAGTACGAGCAACAATGATCGGCCAACAAGTAACGTAACCGTGCCTCGATAGACCTGTCCCCCTCAGGTTCCCATGCCCTGTTAAGCGGTTCAGGGTTTAGGGTTCAGGGCCTTCTTGCCTCTTACGGTAGCAAGGAGGAGCCCGCATTGCAGAGTTCAGGGTTTTCAGCTCCTTTTTAATGTCCGCCAGGCAGTCGGGAGAAGGGTTAGGGGCTCTTGTTTAAAGACTACCCCTCTGCCCCCGAACCCTCCAGCCCCCGAGTGCAGTCAACGAAGGCCCGAGCCAATGTCCCGCGGAGACGTTCCAAAGCCATGCTTCGTCCTAAGCTGACAGAGAGGGCTAAGGGCGCCGCGTAGTATAGGAGCCTTAATAATTTGAATAGGGTGTTGGGGTATGTAAAGCTGTATATATCATGAGGAACCCCCAAAATAATATTGGTAAGAATTTAGGCCCCTATATGAGGGCCTCAGTAATTCGAAGTGGATTCTGTAGTCGGGAACCCTGCAGGAATCCTTTGTCGCCTTTGTCCTTTCTGCTGAAGCCCCCTCTCTTGGGCTGCGCTGCTTTCGTGGTGCCGCCGTGGTTTCATTTTCTAGTGGCAGTGAAACGCAAAAGTTGTCGTGATTCTGTCGGGCTACAAGGAGCCACAATGCAGAGCATCTGTCACAAACATTGGGCACAGGAAAATTCGAACGCATAACACAGCGTCTACGGGCTGCAGCACCAGTTTTTACAATGCAAGACGTGCAGGAACGACTGCGATCAAAAACCCAAGCCATGCAAACCCCCAGGACAGAGAAATCGAAGAAGATAAGCAGAACACAAGCTGTGCCAGTACCGCCAGTACAGCTCGAAATGCCATGGTGGACATACTATACTGGTCCTTTGAATCATCGCACTTGCACAACTAGTAGTCGAGATCTTCATGGCGTTTGATGTTGATGTGCAGCGTTCGGTGAAGGATTCCACTTGAAAAGATGTTGCAATTCTAGCTTGACACGTGCAGGTTCAGTGTTCGTCAAGAGCAGAGCCATACGAAATAGCTTATGATTCACAAGCCCCACCTTGAAATGCCGCGCATTTCTAGGTATCCATGAATTCTAGACTAGACCCCTATAGACCCTAGACTCCTAGACTCCTTTCTGCAGCACCGAACCTGGTGAGTGCCTGCAATACAGCTTGACTAACCCATGGATGACCATGATATCTAAAAAACCCTACGAGGCTCTGCGTCGAAGTCAACAGAATAACCTCAGATCCGCACGTCGAATGCTTCGCCTCGGACCAGCCCCAGGAGGCGCTTGGTGGGTCTACCCAGCATTGCTCGAAGGGCTCTATGAAGCTCCAGGGTTCTAAAAGTATCTGCAACAGTTCTGCAAGGGTTCTCTAAGAGTTCTATGCGCGTCCTATAAAGGCTTTCTACAAGGGGCCTCTACGGGTCCATAAGCTTCCTGAAGGGCTTCTTAAGGCCTCTGAACCAGGTCCAACTCTCACAGCTTGGCCAACCGGCTGAGGCTTCTCGTCTCGCCAGCTGTCAAACAAACCCCCTAAGCCCTAAGCCCTGCTAGATAGGAGTGAAAAAACCCGATAAACTCCCAAACCCCCAAACCCCTAAACCCTAGACTCCCAAAACCAAAGCGGAGCCACAACTGGGCTTCGGCCCATGTACATCGAAACCTGAGAGTTTTGGCCCTCAATCCTGAGGTCACCCAAACACAGTGCCAGACGTTTCAGTGTTAAATCCCAGGCTTTTTCAAACGTTGGGATCACAATAAGTTCATAAAGAAATTATTGATCTAGCAGTTCAACCTGTGATTTCCTTGCAGGCTGGTGCAAGTAAGGACAAGTGCCCCTTCTGGGTTTTGGCGTTTGGGGCTGGAGGAGTTGGGGCTTCCTTGCTCGCAACTCGGCATAGCCACATAGGGACCGTCAGGGATTCCGAATATTAGTTAGTTAAAATTCTTCAAAAACAAGAGGTGCGCATTCAACTCATCACAAAGCCGTGTGTGCAGCAGCGAACATGTGGCAGCTGAGGCGCAGAATCAATCGATGTGTACTGACCCGGCCTGGCCACATGAATTTCAAGACGACGGCAGGCTGGGGTTGAGGGTTTAGGGGAGCTGCACTTCTTGATCCTATCGCATGTCCCAGTTACCCTACCGTTCATTCATGATGGGACTAGTTCAAGCTTGCATATCGCCCTTACTCGCTGGCAATGCTGGGCCTCCAAGTGGTGTACCACATCCTCGAGACCGAAAAGCCGTAACTCTAACCTTCACCCGGCCCTAAACCTAAGGCCTTCGAGACTCTACCCTTGGATTCGAAGCGGTGTAGAAGCCCCATCCGAACCTGAGTGGAGAAGTCCCAAGCCTACACACACACACACACACAGACAGAAGGACAGAGCCCAAGGCCAGAATGTGTGCCTTCGGGAAGGCTGTATAAGATGATATATGGCTTTTGCTTATGAGTTCACGATATATTGCGCTCTCTCCACGGGACACTGCGTCTAGAAGTTCCCTGCGGCAACAACTTGCGGCTCTTAGAGCTGATGTTGCTGGCAGGGATCCTGATAAGTGTGACTGCAGACTTCCCGATGAAGCAATAACAAACATCCTGATGTCCGCCTATGACCGTCATTGCAGAACCAAATTTCTTGTGCTTCCATACGAGTCAGAACCGGCAAGGGCAAGCCATGTAATAGTAGAGTGTAATAGACCATCATGTATTACAATACACTGTAACATATTAAAGTATACATACAAAACAGATCATAATACACTAAACTGCACTGTAATGCACTATAATGCCCTGTAGAAGGAGCTACCAGTGTGCAATGCGCAAACGAATCGGGGCGACCCAGGGGTTTCTGCACGAACATCGCTGTTCCTCGTGGCTGGTGCAGCCGGCCGAGTACGAAGCTACGGTCGGAGTTACAGTGTACTATAGAACCTCATAGCATCTTATAACCACACGTTATGGTATATTTATGGTCTACTATAATATAGTAGTGTCTACTATAGTAAACAGATTTTAGGGCCTAATTTAGGAATTTACGGAATCCGGAACTGACTCTTGCGGGAAGGCACTTCGGCTTTGAACCGTCGCGGGTTCGTGCTTTCCGGTTTCATTTCAAACACCGACAACACAGGCATGCCAGTTGCCCTTTTGTTACTGGACTCAAGTCTAGCCAGACCACGACCGCGGCAACTCGTCACATGGCAGGGTGTTTCCACCAGGGATTAATGCATGAAGCAGGTCTCACTCAACGGCCGACTCTTGGCCAAAACCCGAACCGCTAAACCCAACCCTGAAGACCTGAACTCTAATCCAGAGTCCTAAACTGTAAACTAAACTAAACACAGAAGCAAAACTCACGGAGTTTCCCCAAGGCAAAGGCGGCTTCCCTCTGAAAGACCACTTCGGCTGAGAGCGAACCTGAGCACTGAACCCATGCCGCAAGCACTGCACGTTGTGGATGATTAAGGGGGTTAGGGTCATGTTCAGGGTTGCGGATGATCCGGAACTTTTGGTATCCACGACGGGGAGGCACTGGGGGCAGCACGAACCTGAAATCATCATCACCCTAAGAGTGCGGCGCCTGACAGTGCAAATCAGTGGTGAGCCTTGAGCCTGTAAGCTCCCGGCACCAGAAAGCTTTATCAGAGAGTCGCACGAGCGGGTCTGGTAGAGAGACATGGCCCCTACGTCCTGCTCCCTGGTCGAACAGAAACGGCCTGGCATAGTCGGACAGCAACTGCTTGCACATGGCTGCGACAGCTCATCCCCTCAACCCTGCAACCCTGTAGCCTATAGCCCAGAAGCCCGACAGTAACCCACTCTTTTCTTGCATCCAGGTCGCTGGACGAATCGCCCCAAATCCTAAAAGCCTATGCAAACCATGAACGCAGCAGGTCCAATGGCTCCGATATAGATCGAACTCGCCCTTCGCCCTTTTTCCCCCATGCTCCGTCCACTGTCAGCATCCCTGGCAGCCGCCTGGGTTAAGAGATCGTAAGATTTGGTTATACAATGTTATGCTTACTATATTATCGAATTATCGTACCTCAAAGTATCTCAAAGTATGTTAAGTCTAGTAGAGTATATTATGATATATAGTGGATTATAGTAGGTTATGGTATATTCTTGGACATTACGGTGAATAGGATACCGAGATGAGGAGACCGGGGCCATGCTTACCGGACGCATATTCCAGCCAGGCGCCCTCTGTGCTGTGTTCCCGTGCTGCACGGCAGCCCAGACTACCCAAAAGAACCTACCACCAGTCCCAAAAGTCGAGGGTTTAGGGCTTAGGGTTTAGGGTTAAGGAACTCATCAACTGGACATCCAAGGATTCAGGAAGCCGTGACAATGCAGCTGCAAATCCAAAATCCTGAAAGTCTCGGAGTGAGTTCTGGAATATAAGGCCGAATGGCAGCTGACCAGGACATGGAGATAAACCCCTGGCTTAATGGCTCAGATGCAAGGATGGATTCCCAAACCCAAGAAACCCAATCGTCTGTCGCCTCAACAAGCCACCCTGCAGCAAACAGGCCCCATGGAAGAAGACTGAAGATGCCAGCTCTCTTAGAGTCTTAGACAGCAAAACCCACACAATCAACTCGAAAGCACAGACCGAAACCCACGCCCCAGACCCCAAAACCCGAAACCCCCCAAGGAGCTCATTACGTCAGCTTCAACATGATGCTTTCTTCCTTGCTGCCTTGGGGCCGGCGCCGTCGCCGTTGGCACCTGAGTTAGGGCGAGGCTGCGAGCCTGTGGGTAGCATGATGAGGGAGACCCCTTAAAGGGTACCCCTTCTGAACCCTACATCTGGCTCTCTTAAAAGGGACCTTATTGAGAGTCTGGACACTCTGTAAGCACCCTACGCAGAAGTTTGAGACGAGCCAGGTTAACTTACATTCATGCTGAGCATTCTGGGGTAAGTAGCTATGCTCCCATCAACTCCACGGGCCCAACCAAAAAAAAACATGGAAGACTGGCGATGGTCGAGCCAACGGTTATAGCTTTGTGGTGTCCTCGTGGGTTTCAGAATGCACCGATATCGATGCGTTGGACACGACATGCAGCTTACTATAGGGGCCTTAAGAATTAGAATGGGGTTTGGGTGTACATTATACTATAAGTATAAGGAACCCCCAAAATATTGTTAAGGCCCCTATATTCCTGGATGTTGGCACAACCGCTACGCATCTCAAGCCCTGAACACTTGACACTGCAAAGTGCAAGCAGCCGTTGCGTACGATACAACTTCATTTCTCCGCTGCACACAGTGGGGCTGAAAGCCAAATCATCACCAAGTTCGCATCGCGGCTGTCAGCAGTGCCGCATGTGTGCAAGAATCTTTCCGAAGCAACCACGCAGAATCTGTACAGGCAGCTCATATCCGTCTGATTCAGGCAATACTACGTCAGCGAGCATTGCAAGAAGCTATGGTTGAAAGTCAACGGCCGCAGGAGGCAGGCTCGTTCCAGTTTGGCGACATTGTAAGACAACTGGGCAAGCCAACTTGGATGTGAACGCCTCAACTTGCCCAACTCCAACTCCTGCGGCCGTTCGTGGATCCTGATTCTAAGCCTCAAAGGCGCTCGTGATCATCCGCCTGCATGCCGGGGCAGCGAGTCCAAGCGACCACCGGCAAACACCTACACTGCTTTCTCTGAGAAGAAGAAGAAGAAGTTGTCGCAAAAATGTCGCATAACAAGGAAAAACATTCACACCAATTTCTAAAGCTGGATTCTGATCTGCACCCAAAACCCTAACCCCCTCATGCAAAACACCTACCCATGTCTTCAACAAACGATGCCGACGGTGCATAGGCTGTGTGAACATCACTGGGTAGTCTCAAATTTCAGACCGGTCGAAGGCGGTCGGTACTGCTGAACCCTAAATCACCCTAGGGCCTTGTTACGTAATAAGAAGGATAAAGAAGGATTCCAGTGACTAGAAACAAGATTATGCTAAGAATTTGTATTGCAGAACCCTACGGTTATCCCCCCAAAGTTGCTTCAAAAGAGTATGTCCGACAAACCAAGGCCCTCACGCCTGCTACTACTGATGTCTGGTTCCACCATCCTGGCCCGGGCATGTAAAGTACTGCACTTAGGGCATGTTAACACAAAGCCGCACAGTAGAACTGCATAGCAGATGGCATCGCATTGACTTGTGCCGGTCACCCTGCAATCCCTGCACAACTGCAGTAGTACTGCAACCACCCGACCATAACTATCGCGCATCCTGCTGCTGCCAGTGATCATCGCCTGCACCGTCCTCACCCGCGCACTTATCGAAGTTCCAACCGCGCGGTAAAACGATCTCTTGTGGCAAGCAGGAATGGAGTGCCTGGATCCAAACAGATTCACCCCAGCCAGCCTGCCGGATGAGTGCACAGAACTGCCAAGAAAGATAGAAATGACAACAACAGCAAACTAGCACTGGCACGCCTCTGGTTGCCAGCGATCCCTGTCTGAACGGGCCTGATTCGAGGATGTATTGCATTTCCAACCGCTCCTGCATCAAGATGGAAATCCAAGCCTCGTTCCAAGAAGATCCGTGCGAGTCGGCCTGCAAGTTCACCGCACAAACATCTGACATAAGGCCAAACGCACCCAAGCAAAACTTGCCATGTCGCCTGTTGCCATTGATCTCCGCCTGCGCGCCCCTGACACGAGCACGCACAAGGGTGCTCTAGTCATTCTAACTTGAAACGATCTCTTCAACTTCCCGCCAGCTGCATATCTGTGCCTGGTTCCAACCAGATTCATGCCAGTCAGCCTCCCCAAACAGCACAGAACTGCCATCATGCGCAACAGATCGAAACGCCCGGAACCCCAAACTAACCCCGGCACGCCTCTGGTTGCCAGCGATCCCTGTTTGAACCGCCCTGATTCGAGAATGCATTGCACTTCCAACCGCTCTCTGCATCACGCTGGAAATCATTGCCTCGCTCCAAGCAGGTCCGTCAGCCTGCAAGAACACAGCACAAACTTCTAACACAACGCCCAAGATCAGCAAACGCACCCAAGCAAAACTTGACATGTCGCCTGTTGCCATTGATCTCCGCCCGCGCGGTCCTGATTCTAACTTGAAACGACCTCTTCCACTTGCAGCAAGCTGCATATCTGTGCCTGATTCCAACCAGATTCATGCCAGTGAGCCTCCCCAAACAGCACAGAAATGCCATCATGCGCAACAGATCGAAACGCCCGGAACCCCAAACTAACCCCGGCACGCCTTTGGTTGCCAGCGATCCCTGTTTGAACCGCCCTGATTCGAGAATGCATTGCACTTCCAACCGCTCTCTGCATCACGCCGGAAATCATTGCCTCGCTCCAAGCAGGTCCGTCAGCCTGCAAGAACACAGCACGAACTTCTAACACAACGCCAAAGATCAACAAACGCACCCAAGCAAAACTTAGCATGTCGCCTGTTGCCATTGATCTCCGCCTGCGCGCCCCTGACACGAGCACGCACAAGGGTGCTCTAGTCATTCTAACTTGAAACGATCTCTTCCACTTCCCGCCAGCTGCATATCTGTGCCTGGTTCCAACCAGATTCATGCCAGTCAGCCTCCCCAAACAGCACAGAACTGCCATCATGCGCAACAGATCGAAACGCCCTGAACCCCAAACTAACCCCGGCATGCCTCTGGTTGCCAGCGATCCCTGTTTGAACCGCCCTGATTCGAGAATGCATTGCACTTCCAACCGCTCTCTGCATCACGCTGGAAATCATTGCCTCGCTCCAAGTAGGTCCGTCAGCCTGCAAGAACACAGCACAAACTTCTAACACAACGCCCAAGATCAGCAAACACACCCAAGCAAAACTTAGCATGTCGCCTGTTGCCATTGATCTCCGCCCGCGCGGTCCTGATTCTAACTTGAAACGACCTCTTCCACTTCCAGCAAGCTGCATATCTGTGCCTGGTTCCAACCAGATTCATGCCAGTCAGCCTCCCCAAACAGCACAGAACCGCCATCATGCGCAACAGATCGAAACGCCCGGAACCCCAAACTAACACTGGCACGCCTCTGGTTGCCAGCGATCCCTGTTTGAACCGCCCTGATTCGAGAATGCGTTGCACTTCCAACCGCTCTCTGCATCACGCTGGAAATCATTGCCTCGCTCCAAGCAGGTCCGTCAGCCTGCAAGAACACAGCACAAACTTCTAACACAACGCCCAAGATCAGCAAACGCACCCAAGCAAAACTTGGCATGTCGCCTGTTGCCATTGATCTCCGCCCGCGCGGTCCTGATTCTAACTTGAAACGACCTCTTCCACTTCCAGCAAGCTGCATATCTGTGCCTGGTGCCAAGCAGATTCATGCCAGTCAGCCTCCCCAAACAGCACAGAACTGCCATCGTGCGCAACAGATCGAAACGCCCGGAACCCCAAACTAACACTGGCACGCCTCTGGTTGCCAGCGATCCCTGTTTGAACCGCCCTGATTCGAGAATGCGTTGCACTTCCAACCGCTCTCTGCATCACACTGGAAATCATTGCCTCGCTCCAAGCAGGTCCGTCAGCCTGCAAGAACACAGCACAAACTTCTAACGTAAGGCCAAAGATCAGCAAACGCATCCAAGCAAAACTTGGCATGTCGCCTGTTGCCATTGATCTCCGCCCGCGCGGTCCTGACACGAGCATGCACATAAGAGTACTGGGGTCGTTCCAATTGAAACGATGCACATCAGTGCCTCGTTCCAAACAGATTCGTGCCAGTCAACCTGCACAGAATCTTGCTGCCATTGATCTCTGCCTGAGCGGTCCTGGCACGAAGATGCAGCACAACTACTCGTGTTCAGCTGCATTAGCTGGGCCACAGCCCAATTCCATTCCCATATCATTCGCCGTGAGCAGAGAGACAAAACAAGAATCACCGAAGACACCAAACCACAGTCAGCTAGTCTATCCGTGCACTGGGATAGCCGTAGGGTCAAGGTCCCCAGGCGCTCAGAAGCGCTTATTAAACCCTGTCGTGGGGTCCTGTCCGATGCTCAGTCTGTACTTCAGCGCGCGCAAGTGCAGGCGTCCCTTCTCCACTTCCTGCTCGAGATCCGGGTAGAAGTCGATTCGGACAGGGTCGGCTCTGTTCTTCCGGACGTTGCTGACACAGACCAAGATGTACAGGTCACTATCCTGTGCCACCTCCCATTCATTGCCGGAGAGATAGCCCTGAGTGAATTCACGGTCTCCGGTCCCCTTGACTTCGAACCTGACTCGGCAGCCATAGCCATTGCCATAGAAATTGTCGCGATCAATCCATTCGAAGTCGTAGCCCAGCTGGTCATCCGGACGCGGCCACAAGCACTCCGGGAACCACCAGGCCCGGTTGCTAGACATCCAGTTCCTCTCATCGAAAGAGCTCAAGAGCTCCTTGAAGTGTTGAAAAACGATAAACTCCGCTTCTGCACCGACCTCGAAAGCATCGGGTGCCTCCTCAAATTCCGGGCTGGGTGTCCGAGGCTTTTGCTGCCGCTTCCACCAGGGCCTCGCTGGCCTCTGCTTGGCACTTTCGAAAGCTTCCCGGAGCTTCTGCCGCGTTGCTTCCGCCTGGGCCTGGGGGAGGGGCAAAGGCGACAGGTTCTGCGAAGACTGCGACGAGGACTGCGATGGCTGCGCTGCTCTCGCACGTGGAGCGTGCGGGCTGGCAGGCGTCGAAGGGCTCGAGGCACTCGCAGAGTTGAAGAAAGTTTCTCTGAAGACTCTGTAGGGGTCGAAGGGCTCATTCTCAGATCTTCGGCTCTGGGGCTGGGGATTTGCACCTGAACTCTCCAGCTTCCTTTTCAAGGCTTCGTACGCCTCTCCGATCTCCTTGAACTTCCGCTCCGCCTCTTGCCTGTCGACGCCACGATGCACGGCCTTGTCGGGATGCCACCGTAGGGCCAGGCGCTTGTAAGCAGCCCTCACCTCCTCCAGACTCGCGCCCCTAGCCAGCTCCAAGACCGAGTAGAAGTCTTCGAAGCTCCCAAACTCCTGGACGCCCAAGGTTTCCACAAAGAAGCTGCGCAGGCCGGGCTCGTAGAAGCGACTCAGTGCTCGGTGGGCTTCGGGCAGGTGGGCATCACTGGGTTTCACGTCCCAATAAGCGTCGGCGAGGGGAACCTGCCTCGCAATTTTGCCGACGGGCATGATGACGGGCACACTCGCACGTTGGAATTGCGGGACGACCGTCTTGCTCATTGCCTCGTATATTTGGGATAGCACCAGGTGATCCTGGAATCCACAAAACCCTGCAAGGCACTGCATCAGGGCCTGTTCGAGACGATAGAAGCTCAACTCGCGCTCAATCCGGAAAACCCTCACGAGGACTTCCTCCAAACTCGCATCGTACTGGTCGCAAAGCTGGATTTGGCCAGCAAGCTGTGCAATTTTGGCAGAGGGCGCCTTCCAAACCAAGACGGAACTTCTTCTGAAGCCACGAAGCTGAGGAACGAGCACTTCTCGATCGAAGCCAAAAACACCAGGGTCGCCCAAATCTTGTTCACTCAGCTTTTTCAAGACATACTCGAAGGCACCTCTCTCGCAGCATTTCTGTAGGCACAAGAATTCGTAGGCATCCACCCAGCAGCGTTCGGAAGAGACATCAACATGAAGGCCCAAAAACTCAAGCACTGCGGGCACCGCCGTGAGCTTCTCAGGCACAGGCAGCCAAGCCGCCAGCACCGGAATAGTGACCGCTCCCACCGCAAAGCAGCGCCTCAGCGGGAAGTGACAGTCGAGAACGGAGACCTCCACATCCTGAAGCGGCTCCACAAGGTTCTGGTTCTGCAGCTCCGCCATCAAGGCCTCCAGCAAAGTCGTAGCCCACGGCTCCTGCTGAAGACATGAAAAGAACATCAGGGAACGACATCTCATGGCAACCGGGTGTGTCTTGGCGAGTTGTTGCAGTATCTGTTGACATGATACTAGATTCGGCGACGATGACATCACAACTACTGGACCAAGTGCAAATACAACTTAGGCAGAGCGGTGTGCAATGCCAGCAGCTCCTCAGGCAAAACGATTTGGCTAATGGCCACAGCAAGCTTTGGCAGAATTACATCCAGAGCTGGCCACTTCGCGCCGTTCGCCAGGAAGAAGCTTTCCCAGGCAAGCGCATCTTCTTGACTCGTGTAGTCGCTGCACGCCAAGGGTTCAGGGCAAGCAATCCCGAGCACATGTGGAAGGCTCACCGCCCCGAGCATGATGGGAGTGCCGCTGGTTGTCGGGACTTGCAGCTGGAGTTCAAGATTGCCGGCGCAAGTGGCACCTTCGGCACCTTCGACTGCAAGGGTCCTAGTTAACCCCATTTTGAGACATGGATCAGCAGGCTGGAAAAACCTGCAGTACCCTGACCCCAACTTGCATTCTGCCAGCAATCAAAGGCTTTGATCAGCCTGTCTCGTCGATCTTGAGGCGTCCGAGGTTGAAATCCCGGAGAACGCGCAGGGATGCTGCCAGGGCGTCTGCCTCGATGGGGTGAGACATGTGGACCAACCTGGCACAGGGCACAGGGGCATTGCGTTCTTCGGGTTGAAATTTAGGAGCCATTTTGGAAAGTCCTTGCTCCCCACCTCGCAGCGTGGAGCAACTCGCTTAGCGGTGCTTCCGTCACGCCAAGGCTCTGCAACAGCTGCATCGCCGGCCCCCCGCGTTTCCACAGAGACGTCGCCAGCGAGGCACGCAGCATCCGCAAGCCCAGCCTTGGGCCGAACTCCAAGGCCCAGCCTCATCGGATCTTACAGTGCACCCACGAGTGTTCATCTTCATTTTGGGGAGGCCTTAAAGCTCGATTTTAATGGGTTTGGGCTATGGTTGCCTGGAGATGTGGGCAAGGATGTGAAGATTTTCGGATGCTGCAGTCGAGCCAGGTCCGGTCGTCCTTCCACCGGGAAGATGGGCATCTCCCGAATAATCGCCAGCCTACTGGCCTTGTCCTGCTGCCATTCCGCAAAAATGAACTCGTACAAGGAGACGAACCAGCTGTCTGTCTGCTGTAGCATGAAGCCACTTTGGCCAACGAAGCTGCCGTGCTGCATGCACTGAGCCAAGTCCTCCAAGGAAAGCTTGGGAAGGTCGAGGGAACGACTTTGACCGGGCGTTGCGAAGTGCTTTCCACAGCATTCAGAAAGAATCTCCGTCGTTAGCAGCTCTTGGCTGGCTCCCCTGAGGAGCACGTCCCTCGGTGCATGATGCATGCGCTGCCCTCCGCAGCATGGCCCGCTGCAAGGCTCACAGAGCACGCAGGGCACATCAGAGAGCTGCGCCCCCAAGTCCTCTATGAGCGCCAGCCACCACAGGTCGTTGACTTGATGCTCCAAGATGCGAGTGAGTGCTGGCGAGCCCGGCCGGTCTGCGAGGTTCTTGAAGCTTGGGTTCTGCAGGGCACGCCCCAGCAACTGGGCAATGGCACGGCGAAGGAAACTGTTAAAGGCTGTGAGCTCCAGCTCGCTTCGGGTGGCTACGAGGTCGAAGTCAGCATTGATGGCAAAAGAAAAGCCCTCGGCTCGCACGGGCAACGTGCAGAAAACCAGCTCTTGATTCTTGTCCACCTCGTGGAGTGGCACCGCCACTGAGATCTCCGTGTACGCTGCGGCAGCAACTGATCCTTGGTGATTCCTCAAGGGTGCATTCTGGGTCGAGACCTGCACCCTCGCAACTGCATATTCCAAGCATTGGTGGCCGACTTGAGACAGTTTCTCGTGACTGATGGACAGGCCATCCTCAGCGTCCAAGCGTTGAGCCTGGAGCTCCAGCGTCTTCTCAGTGCCTCGCAAGATGCGGAAGCCCACATGCATCTGTGCGGGCTGCTCATAGCGTTCTCGTGCGAGTACCCTGTGCTGTAGTCATGTGTGTAATACATGTGCACATATATATATATATATATATATATGTATATACATACGACAACGCCCTAATTGCCGCAGATGGCGGAAAACTGTATCTACACATATACATATACACATATACACATATGCACATATGCACATATACACACATGCACATATACACATATATACCTATACACATATGCACATATGTCCATATGTGCATATGTGCATATGTACATATATGCATATACCTATATACTCATATACCTATATACCTGTATACTCATACCTATATACCTATATACTTATATACTTATCTCCCTGTACACCTATATACATAGATACCTATATTCATAGATACATAGGTACATGTGTGTGTGTTAATCTATTTTTGGTTGTCTCCCTTTATGTATTATATTTACACACAGACAAACGCATGTCGACGTGACAGTGATTTGTCTGATCTCCGGCCTCGCACCATGAATGTAACCCGACGCAGCCGTCTCAAGAAGAGAAGGCACGCTGCCTCGCTGGTGTCGAACAAGCGGTGCAGCTGTGCCGTGACCTGACAGGGCTCACGGTGACCAGGACTTGGAGCCACCTCAAGACCGACGGCGATTCGGAAAGCTCAGTAAGGCCTGGTCCAAGAAAGGTGTTTCTGACGATGTCTGCTTCAGCGGCAGAAACAGAACCTCGCGCGAACATGCCGCGGCTGGTGCCAGCCCTGAGCCTCGCAGCCTTCCGCGCATGTGCCAACACCGCCAAGAGGCTGTGTTGAAGTCTTTGAGCAAATCCGCCAAGAGCGCTGGAGCAGACACCTTCTCCGGAGTCACCATGCCTCGGCTCAGAGGTCGACTTCTTGTGTTCCGGGCCAAATGTTCGCTCCTGCGGACTGGGCACCGAGAGTGCCGTACTTGGCCACGTCCAGCACGAAGGAAAACTCTCCGGAAAAGACATGCACCCTGTCACTGATGCAGAAACCTCGCGCGCAAATGCACCAGGCATGCATGCGCACGAGGTACTGACAGGAACACATCTTGCGGCCAGAAGGATAGCCAAGCCGCAGGACTTGAAACCGATCCCTTTCCGGCCGGTCTTATTCTTTGCGACGGCCTTCTGTGACTGGTTGATGTTGCAAAGCGCCCTCACATCTGACCCAGAGAAGCCTCGCTCGTTGCAGGCAGCAACAAGATATCCGTGTGGCCACTGCTCACTCGGCTCACCAGCAATGAAGTGCTGTGACGCACGCACTCCGTCTGCATATTCTGCATCGTCAGCATTCTGGATGAGTTCCAAGATGCAGTGAGCACTGTGGTTCACCAGATTGTATGCAAAATGGTCCAGAGAACCTATGGCCATCTCTCGAAAGGGTCCGTGCGACTCCAGCATCTGCGACCGGATGATGTTTACCACATCATCGCCCTGCGGTGCCACCGCTTCACGGTGTGAGTCTTGGGTGCTTAGCTGCATGTCACAGGGGTCTTCGGCGTGCGAACTTTTCGACAGAGATTCGGCTCTCGTCTGGACCACTTGGAGGAGTTCTTGATTCTGCTGCTCGACGTTCCGGAGCGCCGCTTGCAACTTACCTGCCTCTGTTTTGCGGACTGAACGCTCCCTCTCCAGGGTGCTACTTGCCTCTTCCAGCTTCACCGCCAGCTGATCTCGATCCAAACTGGCATGTAACGCATTCGAACTGGCTTTCAAAGCCCGCAAGCTTCTCTGCCGAATGATGAGGTCTTCCATGAATGCTGAGCATTTGGCGGCTTCAAATCTCAGGCTCGCTGCAATGGACTTGGACAGGGAAAACAAGGCCTGCGGAGCTGCGGCAGAGCCCAAGGACAGGAAGCTCGACGTGGGTAGCGATGGTGCCGCCTAAGCTCCCACATTCGCCACACCCACACCCACACACACACAGAAAAACTGAAGTTAGACGAGGTCTAGCGGTCGACCGTATTAAAAAATTTCATGAAGGCAACATCCACGGACATTTTGCGGCCGGCATTGCAAGCCAGGCCGCATGCCTCAGCTGAAACCTGGCCAGCAGCTCCTTGCTCAACGCGGCCTGCTCAGCATCGTCACGGCCACAGTGCCGTGATGGGTGCGGTCGCGAGTTCTGCAGCGACCAATAGTGCATCCACGGCATCAAGTCGTAGCTGGCCCCTCACACCAGGGAGAGCGAATGACTCCTACATATGGCATCAACATGCAGAGAGCAGCACACCCAGGGCACTCTGCGGCCTTTCCATGCGGCGGGCACCGTGAAATCTGCTTTCGCCTTCAGCAGCAGCTCGGTTGATCGTTTGTCCATGGAAGCCACCGCCAAATGGAGCGGAGATAACCTGAAGAAGAGTCAGCGCTGCCCATAAAAGCTGGCTTGAGGCACATGTCTGCAGCTTTGCAGCCCAATGCTGCAGATCTCATCGACAGGGTCGCCCTGGTGCAGGAAGTGTTGCATAAGCCTCGAGAAGCAGCAAACATGTTATCAGTTCTGCAGCCGCAAGACTCAAACTCCAGGTACGATCTGGCATTCTTATTCCTGTCCTGGCAGGACCAAGACCATGCAACTGAAGTGCGGAGAGGCGAACGGCCAGCCGTGGGCATCTAACTAAGGCACCGGCGGAATACTGCCTCCCAAGACTGCACAGTGAAGCCGGGGAAGCACTGTCCAAGCTGGCATGCAATAGGGCGCAGACAAGTTATAGTGATCCTTCTCCAGCTTCCTGCGAATCGCTTGGACACCCAGGCTAAGACTCAATTTGTCATCCTGCCCGGGTGGCGGAAGCCTGAAGTCGCGAGGGTCGCTAGGGTCAAAGTCGAAACGTGCTTCGACTTCGTCACCAGGGCAGATTTGGAGTGTGAGTTCCCGCTGTATCCATGTCGCACTGCTCGCCGGGTCAGTGCGAAGAAAGGGGTCCGTTTGGCGACCATGGAACATTTGTTGTACAAGCAGACGGTCTCCATCCTCCTCCAAAACTCTCAGCAACGTACGCTCTTCAAACTCCTGCTCGGGACCAGACGCTGTGTCAGCAACAGATCCTGCTTTGCAAAAGACGAAGCCGGGGGGAGGCCAGGAGCGCAGTGCCGGGATCCTGAACCAGCCACGAGCGATGTGGCTCTGAGTTTGATGAGTCTGGTCCCCTTCTCCGCGTTCAAGCCACGCAAAAGCAGAAAGCTTGAACGAGACCGACCATTCGAAGCATTGGCATCCATACTGCAACTTCGTTGCCAACAACACTTCTTTGTCAGCATCCGACAGCAGAGGCCAGAAGGGTGTCGAAGGTCCCAACGTACCGTAGGGCAGCCGAAGGTTTGGTGTAAGCTGATCAGTCACGATAGCACAGCGCTTCATCAGCAGGCGACGAGTTGAAGAAGAGTGTTGCAGCAAGCACTGGAGCTGCGCTTCCATTGACTTGAATGTCTCCTGCGTACACCGGATCAGCATGCGCATCAGCTTTGCCGCATAGCAACGGCACCAACGACGATAACGAAGGTGGACGATTTCTTTAGTGACGGCTTCGAAGGGGAGGCCCACGAGATCCCCATGGCCATTCTCTTCAAGCCAAGTTCCTTGCAATGCGACAGCTGAGATCAGACGGCTGCATGTTGGCTGCCGCACTGCGGGTGTCCTGGTACGCCGACGCCACCCTGGCCGCCCTCCTTCACGGTTTTGAAGACAAGGCTGCCATGCCTGCATGTCATTGGATCTCCCAACTGCACGTAGGGCATCGTAAGACACCACTCGGGAGCGATGCGTGTTAGAACATGTTGCCATGAATCCAAGGCTCCCAAGAGCATCCAGCACTCTGCTAGCCTCAGTCAAATGGAGTCAAAGCCCCAAGGAGGACAAGTTTCCGGGATAATGCCGAACTGTCTCTTAAGACAGTTCGTCTCAGACTCTCTGGGCCGCTTGCATGCTTTGGCTGTTCCTGTGCCGGTTGCATCTGCCTCAACACCTGGCAAAACAGAATGAGCTCTGTGCTGCACTTTGAAGGCACTCTTCAGCCTTGCCTCACGCAGCTCTGCTGGCAGCGCAGACCTTGCGACCGACAGAAGATACTGCGAAGCCCATGCACGAACCATGCAGCAAGCACGCCGGAAGCAAGAGCAATCCTGCACAACCCTTGGCATCCGAAACGAGGGCAGCGGCGGAAAGCTTGCGATGTGACTATGACAGCGTGAAGACATGGGATCCAAGGGTATTATTTGGTGTCTCGCCAGGGCGCGAACTCACTGAGGCAGGAACGAGCTTCGAATGCAGCTGCGCGACCATCTGCCCTTCGCGACCAAGAACACCTGCCCAGTGCTGCCTACCTCTGTTCAACGTGGTGCGATCGCTTCTTGCCCCAAAGCCTCACAGCAGTGGATGAATGCCCTCGCGCACCACGGCTTATCGTCCACAACTTTGTCCACGAGATCTCGGATATGCAGAGGGTGAAGGAAGAATCTAGATAAGGCCCACCCGTTGTGAACTCCTTCCTAGAGATCTTCTATCTCAGTTTGGCAACAACGGCAAGATGCGGCACCTTGTTCAGCCAGAACCTTCTGAAGAAAGAGTCTCTTGCGAGCATGTCCGGCCACCAGTGTCCGATGCGCAGAATGAAGGTCTGCACATACCACACACTGCAAGAGAGTGTAGTTCTCGTCGTCGTGCGTAAAATATGCAAGCGGGCACCTGTTCCGTCGAGTTGAAATCACCTTGCCACGCATCAGCAGCAAGAACACGAACATTGGCTTGCGCAAGTTGTGCACCTTGGCAAGGATGCTCGCACTAAAAGACGCTGGAAGAAAGATCACCTGGATAAATTTGAGCATGAGATTCTGTCGGCTGGAATGTCAGCCAACAGCAAGTTTGGCAAGTTCACTGCCACAAGGTGCTTCTGTTTATCGCTCGTGCAACATGTGTCTCTTCTCGAGTGCTGCTGCTCAGGAAATTTTGTTCTGCGAAGAACCCGACTCTGGCAGCCACTCCGGCTCGGTTCAGGCAGATACAACTGACATATGCTTCATCGCCGAACTGAACTCGCATCACCTGCTGTCACCATACACAAACCAACTAATCTCGACATTTGTGGGAAATGTTCAGGATCCGAAACTTGAGATTGAATTGTGCAGCGGCCGTGGTAAGCCTGCCTGAGCTAGGAGATGAGGTTGTCCTTTCACCGCATCCGTTCGTGTGCCAACGGGACAGACATTGAGAGGTTGCTGTAACCTGGTGCGACCAATCACCCCCACTCTCCGCGAGGAAGGTCTTGAAGGAGGAGCAGGAGCAGGAGGAGCAGGAGGAGCAGGAGGAGCAGGAGGAGCAGGAGGAGCAGGAGGAGGAGGAGGACGGACGGACGGACGGACGGACGGACAGACATGGCAAAACACGGGAGGATAGATGCACGGAGAGAAAGGATATCATCACCCTGTACCTGTTTTGCTTACTGCACTGGTCAATGCAATGTGCGCAGGGGTGTCAATACTCAGTACTGCAACATCCCGGGGCTAAACTGGATCGCCATCTGACTCAAAAAGTAGTCATCCCGAAATCGCCAAGCCTGTCCACGTGCAGATCGGGCACGGCCTGCACCATGAGCCCAGAGGCACAATCAGGCAAAGAATATTGGTCGTAGCTTCCTTCATTGAAGCGCTCTGCAGGTGTCCCGAAGCATTCGAGTTCCTTTGGATCATTCAGAGGCCAAGGAACACTCTCCCCGGGCGACTTCCGACGAATACGGATGCGGCCGTTACAATGCTCTTCAAACCCGTCCATCTCGATACCGGTAGAAGTGCACCGGAGAATAGCTTCCAGTTTGGTGCTGGTGCCCCGATTTCGAAGTGCCTCACGCTCTGCCAGGTCTTCGACGAACTGCCGGTCCTGGTCATCAACACCTGCAAGTACTTTGTCTGTGTGCTGTGCTGCCAGCCTGCTAGCGGCTCCGATATTCGGCACCCTAATAAGGCCGGAAAAGAGCGCACCAGCTTCAACTCCAGCTGCTTCGACCCACTGGACGGCCGAGAATGCTGACCGGGGTGAGAGGCACTCCGCGAACTCGTCGGCCGAGAAAGGCTCGAGGGCGGCAAGCAATCTCACACACTCTGCAAAGCTGCGTCCTTGCCGAAGCGAGGATCTTTCGAAGTGACAGCCCATGAGAACTGCCCTCTTGCACTTTCGGACGAAGGTCGCTTGCCACTCATCCCTGTTTGGTAGAAGATTGATTCGATCTAATCCAAGCACAAGGCAGGACACGTGGCCAACGGAGGCGGCAACCTTTCCAGGGACAACTCTGTGGAACTCATTGTGTCTCCCTGCCTGTCAGTATACATATGTATACATATCAGATTCTCTACATGGTGCACAGCACCTGGGGTATTGAGTACGACATGCCTGGAAAAGCTCCATATGGGTTGGCACATCCAGAGCTATGCCCTGCTTGAGAAGCACAGCTATGGCTGCAGAGACTTCAATTCTCCACTTGCGGCTCTTCGGGGAAAGATAGACATAAGCATGCCGTTGCGGTTGGCGGAAGTCTTCAAGAAAATCCTGCCACATGCGATTGCTCTGTGGCACCTTGTCACGACAGACCAGAGATGTTCAAAGTTTCATGTTCAGCCCTAAACCCTAAACCCGAACGGTATGAAGATGCAATCGCTCCCGGGCCTGCAGTGTAATGTGTTGCCCATCCCAGCTGAGACTCGCCCCATGTTCACAAAGTCGCTCCATGCTAGCAGCATCGTATTTTTGAAAGATCTCTGTCGAAGCCTGAATACAGAAGCGCAACAAGACATGGCATGCAGCTTCGCATTCAGCAGCAAAAGCTCGCCTCAATAGTTGACCAGAACTCAGCCGGAGAAGCTGATGCATGACAGCCCAAGGCGCCATCCATCTTCTCTCGACCACCGGATACTATTTATCTCCACCTGTTATATGTGTATATATATATATATATATTCAACCATCTTCGATTCGATATGTGGATCAAAAAATCCCAAGCTGAAATTCATCTGCAGACTGGTTCTGAAGCACAACCTTCTGAGCCTCCGGTGGCTTTCTGCAGGACTCGGAAATGCAAGCAGCGTACATCTGCATGTCGGGATGGAACCACTTCTGGCCTCCGTGGCTCCGGAGCTTGAAACTCGACCTTGGGCTGACTCAAGCCGATAGGAGGCAGTCTTCAAAGCCCTCAGACACCCTCGAACGCGGTAAGTCCCCGAAATTCCTAAATTTCACAACTCCTGGCTTAATGAGGCTTAGTGGTTCAGACGCGATTGTGATTTCTCCTCGAGCCCCAAACCCAAAAAAACCCAACCTCTGTCGCCTCACCAAGCCACCTTTGCAGCAAACAGGACCACGGGAAGAAGATTGAAACCCCACACCCTCAAATCGACCCTACAGCCCAACACCCGAAACCCCAAAGGAGCTGATTTCTTCAGCTAAAATTGATGGTTTCATCCTTTCTGCCTTGGGGAGGCGGCTCTGGGGAGGCTCCGCAGGGCTTGTTTGATGCTCACATTCGGCCCTTTGCCGCTTGAGGTTTAGGGTTTTACATTTGAACTCCATTTTCCCCGTTCTCCAAACACCACGAACTCCGAACACAAGGCAGACGCGTTTAGCTGGAACTCCAAAAGCTGACACGCGGCCAAGTCTTGCTCTTCACCCTTCGCAGTGGAGCGCAGCCAGTCGTGCGACCTGGGAGGTGCGAGAATCGAAGTCCGGTTAAGGGACGGGCCTTTGCGGGCTTGCTGGAAGCACGCTCGAAGCTCATTCAAAGACCCTTCCCTTTTACCAGTCTTCGGAGATCGCTTCGGACACAGCCTGCGGAGTTCTTCCTGAGGGGAAGGATCTTGCACCCATCACAAAAGTCGGACTTCTTCTGCGCAGATTTCGACGGGCTCACCGGCTTTCAGGTTCGGGATCTTTTCTTCCAGCTCCTGCCAACTTGTCAACTGCAATCTGCAATCCGCAAATCCAGCCCACTACCTGGGACAAAGACCCGGGGCCTGTTGCAAGCGCAGAGCAAGCAACTCCGGTGAGTCTGGGTATGGCAGCTGCGCCGCCACCAGAAGCAGAGGGGCCAGAAGTGCCAGGCGCCTGCTGAAGATACTTCGGGCTGGCGGCTGTGGGCAGGGCATTGTTAAATACCTGCGTGCGCCTTCCAAGACTGGATTCGAAAGGGTCTAAGGGTTGCAGGCACGGCGCGTCAGGCAGACGCCAATCAGGCCCTCACACGTGAAGCCCACCGCCGCCAACGCCAAGCCTGATACGAGGCTAGAGTCCGGATCCGAAGAGAGTGCAAGAAGCGAACAGCGGCAGAGAAGTGATAAAATCAAGTTGTCTGCGCAACCTCGCACGCAAACAAAGTACTCATGCAGTTCAGGGGCAGCAGAAGCAAAGGCACTGGAGTGCGTCCATCTCGGGTTGCACAAAGGGGCCCGCGACCGCGACCACCGCGGCCATGGTAAGGGCGACGGCCACTGTGAGCCACAGAGAATTCATCGTCGCCACCTCAGTGGACAGGTCATGGCAGATAACTGAAGCGATGCTGCATTCATCTTCTGTCTTCCGCTACATGAGTTGGCTCAAGAAACTTGATCTTCATGATCCTCCTCCCTCAAATATGGCCAGATGCACCAAGGGGCAGCAACCAATACCGCAGAAGCCCCCTTCAGCAAGACCTCCATCCAGACCTTCTCGCACGGTGCCTGAGGCTTTGCAAGTAACAGTTCGAACAAGTATAGCAAGCCAACTCGCGCCGAGGGCGCCACATACTTGCAAAGCAGCTCCTTGGTGCCAACCAACGATCCTTGGGCGAACTATGGGGTGACATAGGCGTTAACTTGAAACTGGCAAACGGGAATCTTGCCTGCTGCCGAAATATAACTTACAGGCCTTGGCGAGAGTCTGTCCAAAGTGCTGTCCCCCAGGATTGATCGCTCCGTCAACATTTGCATGAGATCATTCCGGCTCAGAATATCCGTCTCTTTCTGGTCACCGACCTCGCCGAAACTCAAGGCCTCAGACGGCAAATGTTGAATATTGGGCCCCGCTCGTGATAGCATGCATGTTGCGAGTCCGGGCCACGTCATATCCCCATGAGCTCCCCGGTAGTGGACTAACAGCCCTTAGTTGCGACAGCAGGACAGGCCGGGGCAAAGCTGCAGAATTGGTGAAAGAGTTGATGCATTTGACTACAAGCTGTCGAAAGAGCAAAGCTGGGCTGTGAACAAGAGTGACTCCTCTCAACAGGAAACCGAACTCAATACGACTTGAATGCACGAATGAATCAATAAGCAATCCGTCAGAGCAAGCAGCGAAGGAAAGCGCACAGCAGGGAAAGCTGCGAGAAGAAAATGACAGAAGCAAAGGGAAGATAGCGACGAAACCACACACTAAGTCGGATGCACAAGCCAAGTGGAAAGGAAGACAAGTCACGGCTCCAGGCCGTCCAGGCAATCATAAGCAACCCACCAACTGAGCATCTCGTCGCTTGTTTAGACTACACATCGAACAAAACAAGAAACTGCTGTGGCACGGCACACGCAGAGAAGCAAGCATGATTCAAGCTAAACAAACCAACCAAAACAACAATTTCAATGCGCAACGATATTAGCCAAAAGCATCGCCAGGTCAGAAAAGAGTAGAATGTGCCGGTGCTCGTTGCTGCAGATAGTGGCCAAGTGTCACTGAGTCCTTGTGAAGCTCAACCACTGCACGTCCGCGAACATAAACGGCCAAGTGCGACGCCGCCGCGGCGACCAGGCGCTTTTCCAAAACATGATCCTGGCAAACTGGATTCCGGCTAAGCTCAGGCTTCCCTGTTTAAACACCTTAGAGTGCATCTACAGTCCATGCACAAGCGAAGCAGCCGATCCTCGAACAACATCTCATCGCTGCACGTACGTATCTTCAAGTGTGCCTTGCCCTCCGATTCCACGAGCCCATAGACAATGAACGTCTTGGCCTTCCTCATGCAAGCGGCTGTCAGTACTTCTCAACATAAACACGCGGGATCTCGACAAACTACGACTTCACTTCCACCACAGAAAGCTGCGAGCCCAGGGTGGTTCCTGCGGAGAGCAGGGTTGAAAGCCCATACCTGGCCTCATCACCGCCCTTTGCTTGACGAAGAGGAGCGCCATGAGGCATGGCACGACGATGACGTAGCCGAAGACGCTGACCCCCCCGACCCAGTCGACCTCGGGCAGGAGGTGGACCCAAACACTCGACAACGGGCCACGGCTGCCGAGACTGAGCTTCCGACCCAGGCCGACTCCCCGTCCGCCTTGCACTTCAAGTGAGGGAAGAGCGGTCGAAAGGCCAAGTCGTCTGGAATGGCTTTTCCTGTAAAGATCGTCGACTAGACAAGTTCAGAACCCTGCGACACACTGCTATGCGGTATGCGTCCTTCGCCGTCCGAGTGCTGGCATTCCAGAAGTTCGGCAGCCCCCGAGGCACCGCCAACGAAAAGGATCGCGAGAGCTTTCAACGACATGCTGATTCCTGAAGTGAATGTCAGCTCAATACGTCTTGCGACCGAAACACGAAGCTTGAAGCACCCCAAACAGAAAACTGCTGTGCTTGCATCCTCGGCTCCAAGCCCACGTCTGAAGAGCTCAAGGCACATGCAGACGGCAACTACTGCCAGAGGCAGAAGAGGAGTTGCCAACGCGAAGGCTGTCCGCACCGTTGAAGCATCAAAGACGCACTGCAAGGCAAAGGCGTTTTGCACCTTTGCGCAGAGAAGGCTGGCTGGCATGCACTCGCTTCGACCCTCCTGCATTCAACTTACTTAGACCTTGCTCCTTTGGTGTCCGTGGCCTCCACACCAGTCAACTGCAGGACTTCCATATACGATACAAGAGAGTCACCTGGGCTGCTCGTCTGGGGACGGTTCACGACTGTGCAGAAACAGGCACGAACGGTCCCTGTCGCTGCTGCGAGTCGCTGCTGCCACCGGCTTCCGGGGCGACGGACTCCTCGCTCGCGCGCCGCGGCAAACGCCTCGGCCGCACGATGCGTCTGTGGCTGCTGTTTCTGCGGTAGGTTCATGACGGCTCCTCTGGGAGCCGTGCTTGCCGAGCACGGCCCAAAGCTGCGCCAGCTGCAGAAGCACCGGCGCCTGTGCCGCCAGCAGGCGGCTCAAGCTCTTGGAGCGCAGGTCAGTGGGCAACGCAGGCCTGGCCAGGCCCCCGTGTCTGAGGCAAACGGCACACGCCTCTGAGGTCGTGCTATGTATCATCAAATAAAAGGAGAACTGCACCGCTAACAGTGCGGTAGCCAAGGTGGCACCTGCAGGCCCAAAAGGCAGCGCCGAGGCAACCAGCGAGGACAACGGCCAGCAGCAATGCAAAGCCGGAAAACTCTTTGGACGTCCTGGACATCTTGCCACATTCGAAGCACCCGGTACCGGAGGCTCTGAAGCCCGGCGCGCAGTCGGTACAGAGCGGGCCAGCGTATCCTCGGCTTCCAGTCGAACGCAACTTCCGGTACATTCAGACCTTGACCCATGTGGCCGCTGCACTAACATTAGCCTGCTCGCCATGCTCCTCGTGACCAGAATGCCTCGCGTCCGTATATCTACTGTGCTCAATTTATCTTCGCTTCTCTGTCATATTCCTCCAGCAGGTGGATTCGTAGGTTCGAGGCAACAAGAATCAACGATCAGAGAAGAAGCATTCTCGCTCGCCAACTCGAGCTTATGGTTTGGCATGGCTACTGCTGAGAGTTCCTTACCGTGGCGCTTGCATCATAAACGGTCTGCTTTGTTACAAGTCATTTGGTGGTGGTTGTGGGGGCGACGGTGGTGGTGGAGGTAATGCCCACCGCCGCCAGCGCCAACCCGCTGGTGCTGCTGCTCACGCTGAACTTCCGCTTTCTGGGCCACTCCTGCATGCATTTCACACCTGGTGGCCCGAAGAGCTTGCCATGCATGTCGTAACTGAGTCTTAACAAAGAACCCAAGGCAGGCTGTCAAAGGCATGCGACCGTTCTTGCACCCCGACATCGTGGCGTTCGTACAATGTGATGGAATAGGGCAGCGGTAAGCCCGTCCCGATGGCTGCAAGAGGCGCACATATCCCGGCTCTGGGGGTGCTTCTTCTGCAAGTAGCCCACGTGCTTCACACTCGAGATGAAGTTGGCTGCACTGCTCGCACCTCGTCCCCAAGCGCGCTGTGCCTGCTCTGCATTTGCAGCTCTTGTTGCCTGGAGGACCGTGCATGGTCCCGAATGTACACTCACAAATCTTTGCAGAACCGGCGGAGAAGCTGTGTGGAGGGCAGGGCTTGCAGCTTGCTTGGCCTTCCATCTCTGCGAAAGTGTTGGGGGAACAGGCGGTGCAGTTGACTCCATGACCATAAAACCCTGCTTGGCACGCGCACATGTCCTCAGGGAGAAAGACCTGCGGTGTGATGAGCAAAGTGCCGGCCGCCGGCAAGGCACAGGCCCAGCCCTCTGTCTTGTTGGTGACCGGCCTCAGAGCGCCAGCAGTCTGCGCAAGAACTGCCGAACTGAATCCTCGAAACTGCCTGATTGAACTGCATTCGAGGAATGTTGGAATCTGTCAGGATGAAACGGCTGTTGTCATTCTGCAATGTTCCGCTAGCACGGGGTATGAAGCTGACGAGCTTTCGGGGGCATTGGCCTGGTACACCCATAATGAGCTGCATTCTGTCTTCTTTCCGACATGTTCCGACCTCTCCAACTCTGCGCAATCGAGGCCCCGACCTGGAATCCTGCAGCTTCAGCTCCTTCTCCAGCAATTGCTTCATGTCCTGTTTGTTCGCTACAGCCGTGCCGGATAAGTCCAGGAAGGTCTGTTGGCGGACCGCTTGCTGTAGGGCCGGCGGTGCAATGACGAGGGGCTGGCCGTTCTGCTGCAAGCGCACTTGCAGGCCTGCCGGCAACTCCTCAAGTGCTGTAATGTTGTTCCCTGACAGGTCAATGCCCTGCAGTGTCTTGGGTAAGCGAAAGCTACCATGATCCCCTGTCGCATGATTCAGGCCGACCTGCACTCTTCCCATTCGCCCCAGGCGCGGTAGCTCTCGCAGTCGAGGCACTTCATCGTGCAGGCCACAGGATCTGGCGCTAATCACAGTCAAGGGCGTCGTCATCAGCGGAAGTAAGAAGTCTGCCACAGGTACGTTCATCTCGCAGCCAGAGACCTGAATCGAAGGCCGGCAAGACGTGTAGATCGGCATCCCTCTCCCTTTGGCCTCAGACGACTCAGCCCGTCGCATCCAGGATTTGCAAGCTCGGGAGCAAGTCGTCTTCTTTGGCCAAGGCCCAAGTCTTCTCGTTCAGTCCGCCACCTGCCTTGCTGGCCTCAGCTCTGAGAAAAGAAGCCAGAAGTATCCGGGTCTAAGCAACACCCCCGACCTAGTGTCACTCGCTGATGCTGAGAGCCGGTCAGCTACGTTGAGCTCTCGCAAGCGCTGGCAACAGCCTCGCCAAGGTGGGTCCGTGGAAAACCAGCCGGTGACGTTGGTGTGGCTCAGGTCGGCAGTTCGCAAGGCCGTCAGGTTGACGAGCGTGCTGAGCTCGCCTGCAATTGGCGTGTTGGACACGTCCAGGTCCTGAAGCTCTCTCAAGCGCCCCAAAGGGCCCAGACCGCCCGAGACCCGTGTGTGGGAGAGGCGCAGCTCCAGGAGCTGAGTGAGGTTCTGCAAAGGGTTCAGATCGCCCCAAACCTTTGTCCTTGAAAGGTCTAGCAATGCGATTTCGGTGAAGTTCTGCAATGTGCTCAGATCACCTGACACCTGGGTGTGGGAGAGCTTCAGCACTGTGATGCGAGTGAGGCTGGCAAGGGTGCCCAAATCGCCCGACACCTGGGTTTGAGAGACATCTAGCTTCTTGAGCCGCGTGAAGGTTCTGAAGGGGCGGAGATCACCCCACAGCTGGGTCCGGGAGGCGTAGAAGAAGCCCAAGACCCTTGCGACTTTCAGGCTTTGCACTGTGCTCAGGTCGCCCGACACTCGGGTCCGGGAGAGGTCCAGTTTCGACAGCCGGGTGAAGTTCTGCAAGAAGCCCAAATCTCCGGACACCTGGGTTTGGTGGAGGAGCAGCCGGCGGAGCTGGGTGAGGTTTTGCAGGTGGTGGAGATCGCCCGACACTTGGGTTTGGGCGAGGTCCAGGCTGCAAAGTCCAGTGAGGTGCTGTAAGGAGGCCAAGTCGCCTCGCACCTGCGTTTGTGAAAGGTCCAGCTCACTGAGCCGGGTGAGACTCTGCAGATGGCTAAGGTCGCCCGAAACTTGGGTTTCGGGGAGCAACAACGATTCGAGCCGGGTGAAGTGCCGTAGGGGACCGAGGTTGCCCGTCATTTCGGTCCGACCTTCGGACCAAAGCCATTTGACGTGGCAGCCTTCCTCGCAAGTCACGCCTTGCCATCCGCAGGGATCTCCTTCGCCGCTGAGGCCCAGCTCTTGGAGCCAGGACCCGAGGTCCGCCTCGGAAGGACCTCGAGCTCAGCCCCTCTCAAGCACAAATGCATACATACTGACACTCGCTCCTAAACACCACACAGTGTGCTTAAACCCGAGTCCCCAAACCGTCACAGTCTCTCTCCCCGGACCTGAAACAACCCAAAACACTGGACAAGGCGCAAGTCTTGTTCTCGACCTGCGCCAGGCTCGCACGGTCCTGGCGAGTTGGAGCGGCATCCTGCTCGCCCTGTCTTTTGTTGACACTTGTTGTTTAAGCCCTGGGCTTGTTTATGTTAAGTCAACTGTTGTTGTTAGCATTATGCTTAGTACCAAGGAAAATAGTGATGATATGACAATTAATTACAGTTCTCCTAACCCTATGCTTACTTCTTTTGCGTTTTTCTACTACCAGTGCTAGGTATTACTAGTAGTAGTCATAGTGTATTATTCTTATCCTTGACATGCGCGTGGCTTCACTTCTGGGACTTACGCGAAGCATTGCTCTGCAAGTTCTGAGTTGAGCTTAAGCTTAAAGGTTTCGGCCCTCACTCTCGGACATGCCAGGCGAGGATTCTTGGGTAAGTTTAAGGGTTTAGGAGTTCAGGGGTTAAGAGTTTAGGGGTGTATTTACGCTTTGGCGTAGGCTCCTCGATCGATCTCGGCCGCGCTGGTAGTGTAAGGCTGGGCTGCGATGCCTAGGTTCGCAGTACAGAGCTTGACGGAACCGGATTCGGGCGATGAGCAAAGACCACCTCAGAAACGCAAAGCTCCAACCAATAGCCGGGCATCTCTCGCTGTGTCCTGTCCGATAAAGATCTCCGGCCGCACCGCAAGGCTAAGACAAAGCTCGGCCAGGGCCACCAAGGCGAACATGTATCATGGCATTGGCAAACGGCGGTTACCGGGGTGGCTTGGCTAATTCAAACTTTTGAGCCAAGCCTACGCCAGTCCGGCTGACTCAAGGATGCGGCCCAGCAAACTAAGCACAGACCAGAGTTGGCAGGCAATCCTGTTCCATCCAGGTGCGCAAGGCACATGCAGCAGTGGCCAAGTCTCACAAATACCGACTTTCTCTGCCAAACTCGCCAAACTCGTTGAGGGATTGAACGACCGGCGGATTCGAAAAACATTCGTATTAAGCTTACCCTTTCAAGCTATCTCCTCCATCAAACCCGCCGTAGTTGCCATAAAGCCATTCGGGAGCTTCAGTCATGGAGGCTTTTCCTGAGGCTCCCTGCGGACCATGGCCTGTGGGGAGCGCCGGAGCGGGCCCAGACCGCTGATCTGACACGGGGCTCTTTGGAGTTTAGGGTTTAGGCCCTAAACGTCCTTGCAAGCAAGCCTGCCGCAAAAGGGCCGTTTAGAATTTGGGGTTTAAGGTTTAGAGTTTAGGGTTTAGGATTTAGAGTTCAGCAGCTCTGACCTTTGATATGTCTTTTCAAGCTTTTCTCAAGACAAAAACCCCACCCGCCCATAGAATCCCTCCACATATGAAAGTACAATGCATGAAACAATTTTTTTACCAAACCCTGAAGCCTTCAACCATAGGGCCTTGAACCGTAGGCGAAAAAACCACAGGGCCCAAACTGTACCGCCTAAACCTTGGAGCCTAAACCCTCGGCCCTGAACAGCAGGGCCAAACCCCAGGGCCTAAACCGTAGGGCGCCTAAACCCTCGTAGGGCCTAAACCCTGGAACCTAAACCGTCAAACCGTGGGGCCTAAACCCCAGGCCCTAAGTCGTACGGCCTAAACCCCACGCCCTAAACCGCAGCCTAAACCTTAGGGCCTAAAAACCCCAGAGCCTAAACCCTAACCCTAAGGGCTGAACCAAGCCCGAAATCGAGGACCTAAACCCCAGGCCCTAAACCGTACAGCCTAAACCCTAGGGCCTAAACCCCCACACCCTAAGCCGTAGGGCCTAAACCCTAAGCCTTGAACCATCGGGGCTAAACCGTAGGCGCTAAAACCCCTAAAGCCCCAAACCGCAGGGGTGAAGAGCGTAGGGCTTAGTTTTCGGCGCTCACACTCGGACAATCCAGGCGAGGCATATGAGTTTGAGTCTGCAAAGTGAAACAACACTAAGAGGCTTCGTCACTACGTTTCAGCAACAAAGTATAACAACACTTAAAGTGACTGTACCTGTCAGCGACCTCTCCTTGGAATCCCCTGGTCAGAAGCAACATAGAACACTGGATTCCAAGGCGGAGTATTCAGACAGATCGCTCGGGGACGGGTATAGGGAAATAACGCCCTACAATACATCGGGATGTAAGCACGGGGTCGGGACGACCCAGGTATAGCGACCTGTGGCAATCATGATTTACATGATTGCGGTGTGCCAATATATTACCGACTGCACTGAATTATTTAGGCGTGGTGAAACTGCGGACTATGTGGAGCTACCTGTGGATGACGTACGAAGACTGCAATCGCTGGGATTCAGGCTTGTTGACAATGCGACGCCTCTGACAATAAATAACCTGCAAGTAAAGGCTCTAAGGTGCATGACCTGACACTCTATATCATGCTCATTCCCAACAAGCTGGCACATGCAAGCATCCATGCTATTTATTCATATTGAATTAAGTCGACGTGCATAGTTGGCCCTTAATTACTCCTCTCATGTGCTTCGCTGGACCCTATTGGATACTTAGTCTAGACCATGTACTCAATAGGGTCCAGCGAGTTGCGCGTCACATCCGACAGTCTACGTGTGATGTCCAGAGCTGCTGTTGGACCGCGCTAATGGACACACACCCGTTCTCCCGGGCCACCAAGGCAGCCATATGCAGCCATATGCTTAGACACCTTTTCAGGTGATCGCCATGGTTTTTGCAGTGGCTTCAGAATCTGTCAGATAGACCATCATGCATCATGCATCGTGCAGCTTGTGCCAAATTCAGCTGTCGTCAGCATTTCGCTGTTTTTTTTTTGGGGGGGGGGTTCTTTGCTGACCTCTCCTTCAGAGACTATTCTCCAAGCCTCCCGCCATCATAGAAACATCTTCATGCAGTAAATTCCAGAAAAAGGTCGATCTCCTGTGACGGCCAGGGACTATAGGTTGTCTCCAGAAATGCATGCATTGGCAGTGCTGCCGGAGCGTTCTCTGAGCAGGATCTCTGCACCATGTCAATACGGCATTCACCTCGTGCCCTGCATTCTCCAGTCATCTTGTCATGCAGCGCCCGAAGGCAGAGCAGTCGTGCCTCCCAGCCGACATTCAGCGCATCTCATGCTGGAAGCAGGTTTGTAGCTGCCGTGCCATGTTTGCGCCCGCGGGTTAGTGGTTTCTTAGGGGAGAATTCAGGGTTTAGTTTTAAGGTTTAGAAGGTTTCGACTCGCACACTCGCTCTCGCAGGCACGGCTCCAGGGTCTCCACTGCTACCGTTACTACCGTTACTACTGTCACTATCACATCGCGGACAGGCTATGCAGCACACGACCTGGCTTCTCGCCACGGAACAGACAGCGAAGATATCAAAAAGTAGATAGCATAAGTAAGGAAGAGCAAAGTACCGAATAATGTGAGTAGAATATGCAAGGAAGGGAGAAGCAAAGGCCGGTACCGTTCTGTCATGTGACCAAGTCCTCCACCGCGTGTTGCAGCTGGGTGTCTCAGCCGTTTAGACGTCTGACTGCTTCAGCTGCTTCAAAATGCAGGCTGGGACAGCCTCTCCACATGTCCGAAGATGAGTCAAACATGCTTTGAATTCCCACTCTCATGAACTTCCAAATGCAGTGTCGGAATGCATGCCTTCAATTCAATCATGCAGTGACATACGCACAGGCAGCAAATTCACTGGATCCCATGCAGCTTCGTAAGAGGGGCCTTTCCTCTGTCGGTCTCACGTGCGCACTGTCATGCTGGTGGCCACAGTGTCCCAAACATGGCATTCATCAGAGAGAGTATTCTGCCTATATCGTGCGAGTCTTTGACATACCCGCCAGCCAGAACTGAAGGCTCCGTGACAAAAGCACACCAGGGCCCATGTCGGCTGCAGGAAACTTTCAGCCAGGGACCACAGCTTCCACATCGCAAGTCCAGCTGTGCTCTCGGACTTCGGGCTGGACGGCTGGTTGCAAGGACAAGCCAGAGTAACTCACCCAGGTGTCGAAGATCGTCAGGATCCATGCAGGGTGCAGTCTCGAAAGTAAAGACAGTACATTGCAATGTGCTGGCTTCCGAACTGTTGCTGGAAGGCGCGTATAGCAAACTGTTCCAAGATGCTGCTGGGGCAGATGCATATCGAACCGAAAGCTGCAAAGCTGCCTGCAATTCAGTCGTCCTTCAGGGTGGCTGCTTTGCATGGTTCCATGTACGTGCGAGCAGAAGGCGCCAGGGCAGAATGTCAGAGTGCATGGTACCATGGCTTCACAGGCGGGTTGGTATGTAAGGTTCAGCTGTAGTAGAAGTCGATCCCGAATTCAACAGTCGCGCCGTAGCATATCTAGAAGAAATGACACTCAGGGCCTTTGTAAGCAGCAGCAAGGCAGGGACGGACCATACTCCGGCAGGCAGAACCCCAGGGCCAGATTGGTGTAGTGGCATTGGCGGAACGGCGGAGCCGTGATGCTTGCTTCCGTCCGTCTTCGCGCGCTCAGTATTCAAAACCCTCCTCTCTCTCTCGTTGTCGCGAGCAACAGCCGAACCTGCAGTGCAAGTGGTCCTGAGACATGGAACATGTGCAAAGCACTGACTGCTGGGGCACTGACGGATGCGGCTACTCTGACAGTTTACATCACCACGGCACTAGTTTATCAACGCATTTAAGGTCTAGGCCGCGTTTCAGGTCACTTGCTTGTCCCAACACGGCATGCCTTACACGCACAGTGTGTGGTTGTGTTGTGCACTCGGACTGCAGGACGGCTTTTGCGGGAGCGAGTCTCACCTGTCAGGCCACTGTTCGGCAGGCCTACCGAGACAGAGGTATGGATCATGGTCTTATACCGTTGTGTATGTCAGCATTTCTCATAAGCCCCGTCTCCTACCGCAACATAAACAGGGCCCCTAAGTATAAGTTGATCTAAGGATGATCCCAACCGTGCGGTTATGAGGAGTGCTGACACGCCGATCGATTGCTCCAAACACGAATTCTTCGCTGCTACCTGCATTCAAAAGAGGTTGTCTGTATATACATTTGCCACACAAAGGACGTGGTTTCCATCGTGGTGTCCTACGAATTCGACGTGCGGTTCATGCACACGTGCATTGTCCAGAGGACTCGTGGTGCCGTGGTATGCATCGTTGTGCCAGGCGAGTCAAGCAACATGCATGCACGCAAGTATGGGTACAGCAAATGTGTGGCATCGAATTAACTGCGCAGCAGCAGAAAGAATGTACGTGCTAGACATGTGCAACTCAAAATGTCACAGTGTGTTAGGTGATCCCGTAACTGCAAAGCAAACAGTAAGGACCGATAGAGGGAGGGGTAAGTAAGGGCAACAATAAAGGTAGGGGTTCGAAGGGGGATCCCACACTTGACGTCGGACATGCACTGTATACGTGGAGCATTATATCGGCAACAAGGGGGATGCTTGCTGTGCCCACCCACACTTACACAAGTGCCAAACAGTATGACGATTAAATAAGTAGTACTAAGAGTAAGCTTAATAGGAAAGAGGTCACTGTGGGGGCAGGACTTATCAGCGCATCGGCATGAAACTCGGGCCAGGGGGGGGCCGACTACGTCGTCCTCCGGCACCAACATTCGCTTACCGTTTGACAGGATGAGCTGTGCCCACACCTGCTGTCCAGAGCCCCCCTGTCGCGGTGGTATGCGGCTGGACAGATCAATCACCGCCGGCGTCTGACTGGAGGTAGGGGCCGCCTGCATCGTCGGAGGGTCCATCGTAGCCGCTGCTGGCATGGACCTGGCCGGCGCCGAGGGGACCAGGCGATCGCGCACTTCCTTTGCCAAGTCTGCGAGGTTGGTGGCAATGCTGGCAGTCTGGGCTCCGACTTCTTTGGTGAGGTCCAGGAGTTCCGTGGTGCCGCTGGAGTCCACAGGCGTTGCCCCAAGGGCCGCCCCCATGTTCGCCACCGTCGCCTGGAGAGAATCCAAGCTTGCTGTAAGTCGCCTTACCAGACCTGCATTCTCACGGCCAGTTTGGGTGGATTCACCCATGATCTTGTTGATGTCCTGCTAGAGGGACGTGGTCTTCTCGCGCAGCGTCGACTCACAGCGCCCTGAGACCTTCCCCGGGAGGGCTTCAAGCTTGACGACAATACCCTCGATCTTGGCCACGTAGACCTCCAGTCGTGCATGCGTTGTCTCAGCGGCTGTCAGCTTGGCAGCCACGTCACTGTTCAGGAGATCGATCCTGGACTTCACGTTCGTCTCGCATACCTCAATGGCTGTCTTGAATGCTCCATCCATCGTCTGGAAACGCACCTGCTCCGTCTTGTTCGCCTGCGTTGCCGTCTGGGTGAGCGTCCCATCCAGCAACGCGACAGCTTCCTTATGCTTGTCCTGCAGCTGCTTGGAGAGGGTTCCCGCTTGCTTTTGCAGCAGCTGTTCAATCTCCCCACAACGGCCAGCCACCTGCTTTTCGATGGCCGCTGTGGCTTCCTCCATGTTCTTCTGCGTGGTGGGGCAATGAGTGCCCCACTTCGCGTCCAGAGCAGAGTCCACGATGTCTCGGACAGTAGCGATGGCGAGGTTCACTGAGTCGTGCGCCGTTGCATCCGGGGCACCGTCAGTGTTGGTCTTTGTCTGTGCCATGGCCTGCTCCAGAAGTGGGGGCAGAACTTCATGGAGTGCTTGCTGCAGGTCCGTTCGCGAGGGCGAGGTCGTGGGCAGTGCCGTGCTGATCATGTTGTCCAAGAGCGGTGGAAGGGTTTCGTGCAAAAGGTCCTTCAGCAGGTTCGGCAGTACCTGCTCCAGCTGGGAGATGCTTATCCCAGTCGTACCATCACATGACATCGTCGGTCCCTGAGCAGCTGTGGGTGGTGGTGCCACCGATGGCCCCTGCTGAGTCGCAGAGCGTAGCAGCACAGGGCGGCCACGACAGATGCATCCATGTGCAAGAACCAGTAGCAGGATGCAGGTGAGCATCAGCCACTGCTGCACCGTCGGTGTAGCTCCCAGGTCTGGCATCTCCATGTCATACTGGGCAGTGCGCAAGAGGGCATCCATGGCTGGTCTGCTACACAGAGGGGCAGATGTCGCGAGGGCTTATCGGCGAGGGAGGCTGGTGCCAATCTCTCGGAGCACTTTCACGTCTTCAGCACAACTCAAAACAACAGCGCAGTCACCACTACTCAACTCTTCAAGACTGCCTACCATCAGCTGCGAACCCACCATCTTTTGTGCGGGACCTAGCAGCGAACGACATGTTAGAGCCGACAGAGAGCATGCCCTAGAACGTGTGTTACACACGTGCGTTCAGCGTTGTTCAGCCAATTCACACTTGACCATACCAAAACTAAAGGGCAGCAAGTGGAGCACTCACTAACACGTTTTGCTGCGACGGGTGGTCAAGCAGTCAACTCACGGCGGAGCGCCTTTGTCGAACCGAAAAACAAAAGGAAGTCGGAACGACAAGGCTTCGCCCCTTCGGGCCCTTGTGACACTGTCCACTCCGCGGCCCAGAAGGACTGGGCTGGGCGGGCGGGCAAAAGAACGAACTTGAGCCGAGCTTTAGCCAAGATCAAGTCGCTCAACAGCTGAACTCTACGTTATCTCTAACAGTCAAGTTCAGCCAATTCACACTTGACCATACCAAAACTAAAGGGCAGCAAGTGGAGCACTCACTAACACGTTTTGCTGCGACGGGTGGTCAAGCAGTCAACTCACGGCGGAGCGCCTTTGTCGAACCGAAAAACAAAAGGAAGTCGGAACGACAAGGCTTCGCCCCTTCGGGCCGTTGTGACACTGTCCACTCCGCCAAACATGAACCAAAACCAAGAACAACAACAAACAAGCTCCACTGCTGTCAAGAAAAGGTGCAGGCTGCCCTACGAGACAAACGCAGCGCAGAAGATCCCACTCCGTTTTTGCTGGTACAGCAAGAAATCAACTTACTGAGACGGGGCTTAAATTGCCCGTTGGTGCGAAGCACCGGGTGGAGCACCCTCGGCCCTGTACTGCCTCGGGTGGAGCACCCTGTTCTGAGAGCGGTAACGCTCTGGAAAGGGCTCCCTCAGTATCCGCGTAGAGGAACTCTGCGGCGGCGGCACCTCAGTACACGATGTTGTACTCAAAGTCCAGGAGGTGGTGGTGGCGCCGTTGTTGAAGAAGCTTTGGCTGCCATGGCCTTAGGTTGAAGGTCCACGGTGCCTCGAGCCATCTGATGCTGGACAGCACGCAGGCGGGATTTGTGGCGCATCCAGCACTGCTGCGCCGTGTACCCCGCTTCCTCATCCACTTGGACCATCGGGTCGTTCCGGTAAGTCTCGAGCGAGGCCTTCAGCTTCGGCGTGTTGGCCAGCGGGGCGCTGCCAGAAGTGCCTCCGGTGATCGCTGCGGTCTGACGGACCGTATGCGCCAGCAAGCCTCCCACCATGAGCGGTGCGCTCGTCGCCAGTTTCTCCAGCAACAGGAACTGTTGCTCAGGCCGAAGGCGACGAAGCCGTTGCTCCAACTCCCGACATTCTTTCTCGATGCGGGCGACCTCATCCCTCTCTTCCTGGGTCAAGTCGTCCATCGGGTCCTCCGTGGGGTCGACCGGGTTGTTGTGGAAGTGAGGGATGTCCTCGTTGACTCCCGAGGATGGAGCATCCGAGCTCGGGGGAGGAACTCCCCCTGGCTCTTCTTGAGTTGCTTTCGGTGGTGTCACCGGTGCCTGAGAGCCCATGTAGGTTGGCTCCAGATGCGGTGGGAACCACCTTGCAGCATGCAGGCCCATACAGTGGCGGTAATGATCAGCTTCCTCGTACGAGCCGGCGACGGGCAGCGGGAATCGAGGCTGTGCGTATACACAAGGAAGACGCCCCGATGGGTCATACCTTGGTGGACCCTCTCCGCTCTCGTAGTGGGTGCCCAACTCTCGCATCCGGAGGAGATCCTGGAAGTTGAAGGTCGGCCGCGGCTCTCTTGTGAGGGCACTTCGCACCGGGCAAACCTCCGGGATGTCCACCTGCAGCGGGACGGCCTCGATGTCGAGCAAGGGCGGGACGGCATCACTGCGACGCGAGGAGGAAGCGGCAATAGATCGGGCATGCTTCTGGAACTCACTCGCAATGAATCCTGCAGTGTTCCGCAGCTGTACTGCAACACTGCGTTGGAACTGGGACAACCTGTCATCCCCAGATCGACCGGTAGTGCCGTAGCTCAAGTCATCGGTGAGCCCCATTAGGCTCTGCACCGGATCTTCCTCCGGCTTACGGAACTCAGTCACTCGTCGCTGCATGGCGAAGCCCGGTGGCAGCTTGAGGTCCTCTCTCGTCAACCTCGCCGCTGTGTTATTCACCAGGGCCACACGCATGGACTGAATGACTTTTCCAGGGGTAGGCGCAATGAGGTCCGGCCAGTCATCGGGAGTCGGAACCTCAAGGTCCTCCGGTTTGAACACCATCTGTTCAAAAGACATCGCACCCATGCCACGGTGTCGGATGGCAATCTGCAATGACTGGTATGTGTTGAGAAGCGATCGGGCCATACCGTACGTCGAGGGAGGGAGGGTTGACATGCTTGCAACCACTGCATCCAGGTTGGAGATAATCGCACCAACCTTGGCTTCAAGCTCCCCCCTGTTTCCATACTCCGGGGTCCACCGTGCATCAATGGCGGACACGGTCTCACCAGTATCTCGGTTGATGAGCTCAGGCGTAAATCGGTCACTGGCCATTTCCCTGATGAGATTGCTGTTCGACTCGACCCGACGCCTGCCTTGGGCCAACCGGTTCGTGACAGCATCAAGCGCATAGTCACCCGGAGGATACATGGCACCCTGGAACACATTGTCATCGCTCAATTGTCGTGACCGTTCTGATCCCGTGAATCGAGACAGCCACAAGAGCATCGGCTGGGCTCCAAACAGGCGCGCCAATGATATCCGTCGTATTTTCTTCATCGTATACGATACCCTTGATATTCTTGGCGGGCGTGTAGCCGAAGTTGCCGAGCAGAGCACCGTATGCCTTTCGGTAGTGCCTGCACCATGCCTCCCACTCTTTGGAGGGTCCTCCGGCAATTGTCTCGAGCTTTGTAGGCTTTGGCAAACCTTGGCTGCCTTCCTCTCCCAGGATGGGTGCACGATACTGGAAGAAAGGAGCAAGCTCGATTCGGTAGCTAGAGGACTGGAGCTCGGATAGCAATGCATACCTGCCACCGACAGTGGCTTGCTCGCTCGTCCCGTACGTGTCGGGCATCCAGTGATTGCGTCGAAGCACTACTGGGTTGACGGTGATTCGCTCCGTTGCCTCACTACCACCTGCCGCAGCCTGATCATCAGCCGCGGTTGCTACAGGCTGCTCCGGCTCGGTAGATGCAGCCTGTTGGGTAGTGTTGCCCCCCTGAATCGTGAGGTCGGCAAACTCGACACTGTCGCGCGCGACACTGTCTCCCAGCAGCTTCAGAATGCGAGGATCGATCGGGCTCGCTTCCATCAACGGGTGCCAAGCCACTGCTTTCATCCCATCGGCACTGAGGAATCGGTGTCCGTGGACGACGTAGTTCGGGGAAGTAGAAACTCCTTGCTCGCGGTCATCCAAGAGGCGGAAGGGCCTGAACGCGATTCCGCACAGCTCGAGAAATCGAGTTCCTACGCGGATCTGCTTCTGGGATCCCCCCAGCTTCTTTGTCGTGCGACTGTGGCTGTTCACCATAGTTCGGGAGACGCAGATCATCACCTGGAACCAGTAGCCTCCGCCGAGGTACGTGCCAGATGCATAGCTACCAGCAGCCTCGGGGGCGTGTCCAGTCACCCAGACGCAGGGTTCGTGACTTCCATGATCGTCCGTCACGTAATCCTCCCCGAATAGACCTCCGTGCAAGGATCGACCAGAGGTATCGGAGATTCGCTCCGTGAAGGAACGTTTCCTGAGGATCGTATATGTCCGAATTCATCGCTGGGACATACACCCATCCGTCAGTCGGGCGGATGGTGATCTGTGACGCACCGTCCTCGTAGGTCATTTGGGTGCTGGCTCCCCAGTTGAGCGTATCATCGATGCTGACGCATCGCCCGGGGTAGGCCTCAGCCATCGCCTTCATGAACGAGACCCACCCGCGCATCAGCGGGTTATTTTCATCGTCGTCTTCGTTGCGAAAGGCGGCCACTTCACCAATCCCGTTCGCATCCACGGCAGGAAGATCGTAGCCGTGTTCCTTGCGATCATTCTCGAGATGAGTCGCTTGCTCTTTCAGAGAATCCAGCGTGGGAAATCGGTTAAGGGCCTTGATTGCCAGAAACGCTCCAGGGATGAAAGAAAGTGTCGGCCTGAGCTGCAGAAATCCCTTGAAGAACTTCGCGGCTTCAGCCGGGTTGACCGCATCCCTTGACAACTCAATGGGCGACAACTTGGTGAGGTCGTTGTGTTTGATACTCGTATCGGTCCTCAACCATCGCTGTTCCGCAGACGAACTGCTGAATCCCATGAGATTTCGGTTCCAGCTCGCAAGAGGCGACGGAATGTAACAGGTTCCCATGAGACGGAGCGTATCGTTGCTCAGTGTCTCTCGAGATCCCTTAAAGGTTTGCGCTTGAAAGTGCATACAGTGGCGAGCCAGTGCCATCGTAAGGTCCATTTTCTCGCGGACCCCTGCGGCATCACCAGACAACGTTGCCACTCGGGAAAATGCAAGAGCGCACATCACCCTGTATCGGTCGATGAAGTCCATAAACTCTCGGGGGTACTGCTTCCTCTGCTTATCCGCAAGCGGATGATTAGAGAGGAGGAAGGAGTCAACCAGCTGATGCAGCCTTTGGTCGAAACCAGAGTTGCATGCCAGCTGTTCGAGGCGCTGCCAGATTGAGGCCTGTGGGATCTCTTGGACCCCGATCTTCAGCATCATTGCTTTCATCCTCAATCCTATCGGAACGTCCTCGGAGCGCTTCCCACCCCCAGTAGACTCATCTCTCGGGGTCTGAATCGGGACTGGGGCTTCATCGGCGCCCATGTTGGAATCAGCCTGCTCCGTGGGGATCGGCGGAGCAGGAGGCCTTTCCGTAGTCGGCGCAATCGGACCGCTCGGAAGGCCCTCCCCGCAAGGCGAGGGAGACTTCGGCTGAGGTGATCGGGCAGCCGGTGTCTTGGCAGCAGCCTTCTTCGGTGGCTGCTTGTTCTTTCCTCCCATCGTTCAGCAGCGGCGGCAGCGCGGAGAAGTTCGCAGCCCGTGGCAGCTACAACCTGTCCTAGCAGGGAGCGCAAGTAGGCTATGGACTGAGTCGTAGTAGAGGTGGTCTGTGATGGTCGGTTGATAAAGGTGATCTATGATCGTTGCCCTTAGAGCTCCTTACCAAGCTATAGTCAAGTGTGAGTGTGCAAGTATGTGCATGGCCTTGGCGTCTTTGTTTAAGCAATCGGCAACGCGGATTGCTGTGAGCCAAAAACCGCAGAATTCATGAAATGTTCAAGCGCAGCCCACAATGCAAATCGAAGCTCTTTCGGGTCGACCCTTTTGGCCTTCTTGTGATTGCATGCAAATCGTGACATGAAGATGGGCCCAAACCGGGCAGGCATGAAAATCTCGCACATCCATGCATGCTGAGAACATCGACCAGAGGAGCACGAACACAGCTTAACTGGGCAAAGCTCGTGCGATTCAGACCATCGCCTTATGTACTCCCTACCCCATAATGGGTTTCCCTTCGGTAGCACAAGGAATACAGGAATTCCAGATGAGCGGGCAGCGGAAGCATACCCGAGTAATTTCTTGGCTTCCCATCCTTTTTCTTTGAGGTTTCCCCTCATTTCTTTCCAACCCCTGCTCTTGAAACCGGCTTCTCTTTTGTTAGCGGTGCCAGCAATCGGAACAGTGACAATACATACCGCAGGCGTAGGCGGAACCCTGATGTTCGAAATAGCAATCCCCTTTGCATTATCATCGAGACTGAGATTGATACTTCGAGCATGAGGGAATCGGATTATGCCTTCGCCTCCGATATGAATACATTTTATTGCTGCTCCGAATTGGTGAGCATCATCGATTGAAATACCCCCCTGACGAGACATGTCGAGGATGAAATCGTTGAAGGGGCTGTGACCCGTTTCAAGATGTACCCCCCTGGTTGGACAGACAGAGGGGAGAGCATGGAGAGCGGGAGCGGCAGACAGCATACCAGAGGAAATAAGAGTACCTTTACGAAAATGACCAATAGACATAAGGTTGCGACCCCACACTTTAGCATCAGTGCAGGCCTTGGTCAGGATATCACCAGCCTCAAACTGAGAGGGACACGTCACGAACATAAAGTCACCAGCGTGGTAGCGTTCATTCAACGCAGAAATATCGATACGCTGGGTACGAGACATATGACGCATATTAGGATTGTGACCAGTGACAATGACACGGATGGCAGCTTCATTGTCTTCCATTACACGCAAACGGAAACGGCGGCCCAACATATACTCCCACATGGAGAGAGCGGGCAGTCCCAGTTTATAGACCGCGTGATCAAGAGAGACAATTTCGGCTTCGGGAGTAGACTTCGACACAGAGGTCTGCTTCTTGGACAGCGCATTAAGAGGCATAAAGCTACGCGGGCCAAGAAGACACATGAAGACGCCAGAAGTGCTCTTGGAATCAGTGCGGTCGCCCGCAAGATCAGCATCGCAATAGAGCACAAGCTCCAACATCTCGGGCGCATCACCAATCCAACCATACAAATTGAGATCGAGGGTGGAATTGATATAACACACCAAACGATGAAGCTTCTTGTCACACAAACCATCCCACTTGGTGATGAGACTAGCAAGTGCCTGCACGGGGCGAATGAGATCGTATCGTCCCATGCGAGCACCATACAAGATTTTCATCAGGACAGCAGCAGCGCAGTCACCAAGAACGCCCTTACCAGGAGGCACAGGCGTATCGATGGGATGGCCCAACAAGCGGTTCACCTCGGGACGATCCGGATTAGTATCGAACTCCGGTCGCGACTCATCGAGGAACGGCGTGTCAGCCGACCGCAAGGTGGCTTTGTATTTAGGACCACAGAGCTCAACGTATCGAGAGACACATTGCTCCATGAACGATCGCATACCGTACTTGATCATTCGGATTTCGCGAGGACCGACAGAGCCCTGAGCGACAGTAGTGTCACGATCGCCAAAAGTGAGCTCGGGAAATGCCTTCTTGGGTTCCTCGAAGCGCGTCCAATAGGAGCGCGGATCAAAAGAATTAGGAACAACATGTGAGAAAGTAACATGCTCACAACCCAAATAACGTTTGATGCTCGAGGGCGGCTCCAGTTTAATCGTTGATGCCATGAGCTCCCACCCTTTGGCCAGATTGGCCTTTGGTCCACTGAGCTTAAAATCATCGACGTAGACCACGAGCATAAGGTTAAGCTTGGGATGGCGAAACACGCTCTTCCAGTCAGGGCATTGCTCGAAGCCAACTGAGCGGAGAGCCTTTTCGCAATGCTGTTCCCAGAACCCACCGGCATCCGGGTGCCCATAAAGGGCCAATACAAGACGCACAACCGGGTCATGATACTTTCCATGCCATTCGGGCAGCCATCGATCTTTGGGCAGTCGCACCCATGTGGCTGGGCCACCAAGCTTAGCTTGAGTGTAGGCGGACTCGCCATCAGCAACTTGTATTTCGTGACCGGGCAGAAGACCGAAAGCATCAGCGGCCTTCCCTGCCTCCATGGTCGCGGGGCATGAAGTTATCTCGGAGAAAATCGCCCAATTGTTGCCTTCATCTTTGACATGACAGCCCTCAAACACGACACGACCCTTGAATTTTCGATTGGGATCGGATTCCGGTAGCTCGGAGTTCTTCTCAACGCATATATCGAAGATGCGACCAACATGGGCCGTCTCCCCTTTTGCCATGGCCTCGTTAGATACATCGCGCCACTCACGCACTGAGGCGTAATCCCAACAGCCCTGGTTGATGAGCTTATTCCACTCCTTATCAAGAGCGGCCTTGGCCTTGGGATTAGCGGCACGTTCCTTTCGATCAACAGGCCGTGCGACACATGCACTGTAGAAGAACACCGAAGAGTCTGGAGAGCGGTGCGAATGAGGATCGGGACGAACAGACATCGCAGGGGCTGCATCGGTAGCCACACAAGCGTTGGAGGGCTCTACCGGGGCAGATAGACCATCCCCGGCATCCTCATCCGTGAAATCAAGTTCAACCGCGGCTAGCACAGAAGTGTAGAACTGAACCACTGCCACGTCCTGTCCTGGCTCGACAACAAGGTCGGTGTCGGTAGGATTAAGGACGTCGACCCCTGATTGGGTTGCCCCCTCGTTATACGTGTACATGGCCGGACAAATATCGAGGCCACTACCGCGGAGCGGCTGAAGGCGGGCCGACATACCGCTTGGGGGTTCAAACTCAAGGTCGGTAACAACACAGGCGCGGGACTTGGCAGGGATGACAACACGTCCCTTCGCGCGCAAGGCGTGGCCATAATAGCCATTCGCCGTTTGCACTCGGCGCTCTGTGCCGTCCTTATTCGGCAGACTGGTGCGAACCCTGATCTGTGTTTTAGCAGAAGAACCGATAACGAAAACGGTCTTTCCTGTCCATCGACATGGTAGAGATCGCACATCGGATGATCTCCATGAATCCTGCAATGTAAACTCCGTGCCATCGGTCATGGCCATAGTCATCCTGACATCAGTCAAGGTCGCAGGATCGACGGGACAGTCCTTCACTGAGGTTGGATTAAAGCGCGCTCGGCGCTCGATCACATGAAATCGGGTGATCGTGCCAGCTGCGACATCGTGATACCAGTAATCCTTATCATGTCGTTCAGCACCCGACTCATATTCGGAGTCGAAAGCGATGTCGACAGGAGCAGCATCGCGAGAGTCCTCTCGGGACATGGCATGAGACTCAGCTTCTCGGCGCTCAGCCTCGACATATCCCTCCCGTTCGGCGCGATTCATGCTGCGCCAGGATTCTGAGTCGATAGAGTTCGGCTTTCGAGACCCTCTGTAGATACGCTCGGAGCGCGGCACACTCTGACGATAAGGCAAACCCCCCTCGCCCTCCAGGATCTCCGACCCATGGTAAGGAGGTAACTTCTTCTTGGATGGGGCAAAGCCATCATCAAAGAATTCGACAGTGCCTGTCCAGAGTTGCATGAGTCTCGTCTTGCCGAAGGCATAGCCGGTTTCATAGATCGTAACCGGGCCTTTATCCTTATACTGAACATGCGAAATACGCACTGTGCTCAGCTTCCACGGATCAGGCGATTCGCCAATAGATCCGGGAGTCTTACTGGGATGAATCATCGCCTTTCTCGGGACGACTACGTGATAAGTCCACTTATGATTCGATGGATCATAATCCCAGTAGTCGACACCTCCTCCATGAGAAGATTCGGCTCGTAACTCGGCCTCACGAGCCCGCCGAACATCTTCTTCGGTCATTCGGGTCGGCTCGTCGAGGGCAAATATTTCATCGATATCTTCGAGTTCGAGCATATCAGAGGCGTCAAGGCGCTCACTTGACCGAGGCGCACAGGATTTCATCGCAGGATCGTTGATGCACATTGATCGAGTCTGCTTGTCGTACACGGCGAGCATCGGGAACGTCCATCGCTCCTTGGGTGAACAATATATCTTCTTGACTTGATGGACGCTCGCACGCAATGCATCGCGTTTGAAGTCTTCCAAATCGGCGACAATGTAGTCACCGTCCCACTTGCCCCCGTTCTCAAAATGATAACGCAGAAAAATACCAGGCTTACTCGTAGGGGAGAACTTACTGGGGCGTTGGTAAGACGACAAGCGTTGGTCAACGTCGGCGCCCTGGAGAGTGCCAGATTGATCATTGTCTCCATCATCAATCCACTCAAGATAACCATCGTCATCGAAACCAATTTCGACATCAATCAGTCCGTCGTCTCCAGGCGCAGGTACGGCGTACTCCTCACCATCGCCGAGGACGACTTCATCTCTCTGACTCCGCCGGGTCTGCTTTCGTGCCGGCGTAGGATAGAAGTCAACAAGGCAACCAAACGGCAGAATCTGACCGTCAAACTCAACACCATCAAATCGCATCGCATAGGCACTCTGACCCTCGCGCAATTCGATGTTGCGAGCATGGCAGAAGTGCTTGCATGCATAAGGCCAGAATTTGGCGCTCAATCCCGCTTGTCGTAGCGCCACACGTGCGCCATGAAGGACAAGCTTCACCTTGCTCTCGGCAATGGCATTAGTTCGTGGCATTCCCGGGGTGGAGTGCTTCACAGATATGCCGACTTTCTTGCAGGTCGATATGAACTCACGGGCTTTATCACAGTAGATTTCCCGAATCGCAGAAGATGCATACCTCCTCTCCACATCCATGGAGAACGAGTTCACATCTCGAAGATCGCCAAAGACCTGCTGAAATGCTCGAAGCGTATCGGCATTCGTTCTTCCCTTAACGGGAACGCTCTCCAGCCACTCGGTTGCTAGATCGTAGAAGACGACAGCATCCGTCTCCCCATTATTCCCGCGATTGCCGAGCCCATGCAACACCATTGTGTCGATGGTAACGTGTTCGCCAAACTTCTCAAACCCTTTATCGCGCGGTGAGTCTTGGCGAAAGGATTTAACATTTTCCATCTTTGCACGTTGGCAGGCATCGCAATAGGGGTTCTTTGGGAGATGGGTCATGAGATGACGGATTGACTTTGCCTCGTCTCTCAGATCGCGCGCTCTAGGTTCATCAGGCGGCGACTGAGGCTTACCCTTATCGGGCACCTTCTTGTTATCGTCAGGTGCACTCTTCTGAACGCTCTTGGCGTTGGGCATATCGAGATCAAGTTCTCCGACAGCGTCTAATTCGCTGCCAGGCTCTTCACCAGCTGCAACGACCTTTTCGTGGACGATAATCGGTGCTGGGAGAGCCGGATACACACGAGGGAGATCAGGTCGGCCGGCCACTACCTCTGTCTCACTTGGAGCAAGGTATGGAATATTATTGATCACGTCGACCTTGAGGCGTTTCCCTTTCGGATCAAAGAATATCGGATCGCAAAAGGGCTCCCAAATGAATCGATAACCAAGCTCCTTACATCGTTTCCCAAGGGAGAGGAGACTTGGCGTGCTTTCCAACACATAAGCTTCAATTAGCTCATCGATACCATCGATGCGCATATGCGCAACACCCTTGGTGTTGGTCTTCCCGTTGGCGGTCCGAAGGCTGATCTTTGCATTCTGGACGATCAGATCCCTTTCATCACGGGATAAATCACCGAGACCAATAAGGTCTATACCGCAACCGGAGTCAAGCATGAGTCTCCGTACCCTCTTAATAGACTTGACAGCAGCAGCAAAGACTTCGCAAGCGCTCCGCTGAGAAAGCGTGAGCTCAAGAACACAAGCATCATTTCCTAACGTTTTGGCATCAATGTCATCGAGCAAAACCTGCTCTCGCCACAGCACAGCCTTCATATGAGCCCTTCGCCTCTCCCGAGCACTATTCAGACCACGGATATTTTCCGGCCACGAATAGCTCAAATTCCTCTCGCGATTGACGGGGCCGAAAGCCGGCTCCGGGAAAGAAGACTCTATCACGCGGGTCTCAGTGTTCCCAAACGACACTGTCTTCCGCTTGACTGACGGACATGCCATATCGAATGATGCTGCACAAGCGAACGCAAAGTCTCCAAAGGAGGATGCTGTCATTGCCTGAGGGTTGCGGCACGCCCCTCTCAAAAATCCGAGGGCGTTGGCGCCGGGCTGTCAACCCGCCTTGATGTCGGCGCGGGCTCAGCAGGCGCAGGGGCGGCAACAGAAGTGCTCTCAGCAGGAGCACCAGGCTTCACATGCTTATACGGACACTTATCACCTCTCGCGCAAGTTCCGCGGGCATAGTAGAAGCATATGCCAGACTCCTTTGATATCGGTGACTGGGATCGAGGCGGGAATCCTTTCGGCGAGGAGCTTCTGCCCTTGAGGTTGTGAGAGAACTTACAACCGCTTCCTCGCGTACATCTGCCGTTCTTGAAATCGTAGCAGATTTCTCGCCCTCGTGGAGATCGTGATGCAGGGCGCGTTGGGGCAGGAGCGGCCCTTCCCGGACTGCGCGGCGAGTATCGCCTCGGCGAACCGCGCCTCGGGGAGGATCGTCTGGGCGACGAGCGCCTCGGCGAGCTCCTTCGGTATGGACTCCCTCTTCTTGAGTCTCGGCATCCAGGAGATCTAGATCCCCTCTTGCTTCTTGAGAAGGATCTGCGTGGGCTACCATGTGCAGCTGCAGCATACCGTCTTTGCGCAGAGGTGGATCGAGTAGCGGTGTACATCTTCTCCTGGTTGCGACGCCGGCGCCAAGTTGTAAGTTGTAATCGCATTGACGCAGACAGTCCGCAAATACGCGTAGTTCCGGACAGACACGTCCCTGTCCCACAATTGCATATCGAGCTCGAGACAGCGGAACTCACGTACCTGCTCATAGAAGAGTGCGCAGAGAACAGGATCTTCGGGACGATCGACTGAGATACCAGCGAGAACATGATCCCACCGATTGGAGAAGGCTTCTAGCCTCTCCTGCTCGGATCCATGAGTAAACCGATCAATCGTGGTCTTCATCAGATCGACGAGCTTGAAGGTCGAATCGCCAGTGACATGTGGTCGAAGGAAATCATACAACAACCACAAGATCTGCCTACTGCCGAGTCGCCGATTTATCGTATGCATGCGCTCGGTTTCGGTCTGGGTCTTATTCTTTAGTGCAATGGATTTGACGCACTCGCGGAATGCAGAGTTGCATTCATTCTCAAGCATTCCGTACTTGCACTCATCAAGAAGGTCTTCATATCGTGTACCATCGGGAATCTCAACCCACGAGAGTGCGTATCCGGGATCGTATGCGAATGCATTTGCAACTCGCTCCTTCATGTCGACGATCCAGCGCCGCAGCTGAGCGGGCTCCGGCTCGGGATCGAGTCGGAAGGACTTGCACTTCGCCTTCTTAGCCTCGCTCAGCGATCCATCGCCCTTGGGTCCACCGAATCCCGTATCGTTGGGACCGGGCGGATTCCCAGTCTGTCTCTCAAGACACACGAGACAGATTCTCAAAGGATCTCGGCAACATCCGTTGCAACACGAGAATCGGCAAGAAATGCACGATCGCCGCACGGTGGTCGGGAAAGTTCCGGTGCAGCGTTCGCACTGGAAAGTATCATTCCCGCTCGGCCGGCCGGAGGGCCTGATGCTAGGCGGATCAAGTCCACCATCAGGCAGGCCATTCCCGTCAGGAGGGCCACCACCACCAGGCGGGCCGCCGGGCGGGGCACTGGGTGGTCCACCACCGCCACCAGGGCCGAAACCGGACCCGTGGTGTCCATGTCCACAAACCACCACCATATGCACCCCCGTTATCGTTGGGGCCACCACCACCGAAAGAACCACCGTCACCGCCATGCGCGGGCGGCGGTCCACCTAATCCGGATGGCGCAGCACTGGGTGCAGGGGCGGATGTTCTAGCATTAAAGGTGGGCATCGGAGGCATAGTCCATCCATCGACGTCATCAGTGGCAGCAGGTCGAAGTGTTCCAGTGACGCTTGCGTTCGGTGCTAGCGTGAAGGTACCAGTCTCGCTATGGAGAACAGGTGCACCAGAACCGCTGCCAATGAGATTGGATCGGCCAAGCATTGCATCATACCATCTTCAAGGTCCCTTTCCTGCCGGAACAGTTCGTGTATCATACGAAATCTGGCATGGAAACGTAGGGCTCCGCTTGGGCTCTGGAGCAAATCTCTGGGTTTCAGGGTCATAGCGGACGCCACTGCGAATGGCCAGATCATCATCGACAGGGAAGGGTCTGACACTCGGAGCTTGGCCGGATGTCGCTCCGGCGGCATTTGTGGACGGAACGGTCGGAATCGGAGATCTTCCTGAAAAAGAGGCAGACGTTTGGCCATAATGTTGTCGGACGGGCTCAACAGGATTATTTTGCCCGCGACTTTCAGGAGGATGATCATCAGCGACTCGTTGCTGCGCGCGCCTCAGAATATCATCAAGATTGATGCCACTCGTCTGAGAGTGCACCGTTGAGGCCTTTTCAGCAGGCGCAGCATTGCATCCCGGCGGAGAGCCATGATCAATCGGACCCAACAAAGAAGATCTCGGAATGGCTGTAGTCGGTCCGCCAGGGAATAGAGCACCAGGAACTGGCGGCATGTCCGCGGGACGTGGGATATCCCCATCATGGTCACTGATGTCGAAGAACTGCGTCCGTTCCGGACGCGAAGGCGTCGACATGTCAGAACCACCCCTGCGGACATGAGCACTCTCAAGATGCTGAATGCGAGCAGTGAGCTGATCGATGAGAACCCGGTTACTCTCCTTATGATCGTAGAGAGCACGGCTCATTTCGGTTCTAATGACCTCGATACGGTGTGTAGCATTCTGCTCAACCGTAGCGATACGCGCCTCAGCATTTGAGATATTGATCTGAATTTGCTGCAGCGCATCAGGGTAATGCTTGATGTGGCGGATCGTCTCAGCAAGCTGCATGGATATCGATCCAGCACGCTTTTCGTTGAATCGGTGAATCCGCTCATCAAACTCAATGAATCGATCGTTGACCATCGAGTTGAGCCTCGCAAAATGCTCTTCAAGAGTTTCATGGTCCGAAATCCGCCTATCGCGGACGGAGTCCTGAAAGATCGTGTGTAGTTCACGCTCCCTCCTCATCTCGGCCTGTAGAAGCTCCCACATTTCTCGGATCTTGTCTTCAAGTGCTTCAGCAATGTCCGAGACGCCGTTCCTCAGAATATCGAGGTCGGCTTGGGTATTGGTCACACCCTGCGCGATCGCCAGAATATCGGTGGCGATACGCGCGGATGCTTCCGACCCAATGGCTTCATCGACCAGGGCCCTGACAGCGCAGGGACCGGGAAGCCTCCCGCCGTTATCGGTGGCGGGGGCAGCACCACCATGATCCGCCGCAGTAATCGTTGCGACGGAAACATGGGGTGCACCCGGGTGCTCGCTCATGGGCTCGTCGGGGAGCGAGGCTCCACCGCGGCCTGCCACCGGCCCATAAGAATCGGGGCGCGGTGGACGAAAGGACGCCGGGTCCGAAATCGGTGGACCACGGCCGTCCGGCCCGGACCCAAAGAGGGCCCGAGCGCCCTCTGGATCCCCGCGAAGGGACAGAGGACAAGACAAAGAATCGGTCGGAAGAAGGGCAGGTGCGGAAGCAGCAGGAGCAGCGGACGCAGAAAAGGCAGGCAACAAAGGCAAAGCACGAGCGGTGGCAGAAGCAGGCAGCATGCCGGCGTGCATCGTGCCAGGCGTTGCGAAAGCGGCAGCAGAGCATGGCAAAAGCGGCGCATGGTGCTGAGCTCTCTGATCGTCCTCAGCAGGCGGCGAAGCAAGCAGCGAAGCAGAGCGAGCGAGCGAAGCGTGCGAGGCGGGTGCAGTGCAGCGAGATGCGTGGGCACTATCATCGGGCTCCACGACATCCCGAGCAACTGGCGTCACTAGTGAAGAACCGACAGTCGAGGGGACACGGGGAGAACCGATCGGAGTCGCCATTCTCTCGGTGGCGTGGCCAATCACAAGTTCCGAACTTGGTCTGAGCCAGGAAAACGGTAGTGATCAGACACTGATTGGATCAGGCAGTCCGAGTGCCGAGCAGCAGCAGCGAAGCAGCAATCCACAATCGGATGCGGAGGCCTTACGGCTGATAACCTATGAAAAGCGGAGGATTCCACTCAACTCTCGGTCACAAAGCCCAAGGCAGCCGATCGTAGATAAAAGCAATGCAGCAGGCAAAGCAAGGATGATCAGAGTTAAAACCGTAAGGTTGACGCTCAGGTAGAAGACAGGTCCTACAACCCCCAGGCTGTAAGCGGTCTTTTCCTGGGACTCGCTAGGTGGTCCTTGAGCAGTCATGCTGCGTAGTGAGACAAAGTTGGTCTGATTCCTAACCAGAAGGCAGAAGCACATATACGCATGTCAGTGACAAATCACATAGAGGATAGAGGGGAACCTCATGTTCTACAAGAACAAAAGATTCCGCACAGCACATCATCCGCGTGCTCGTCTGTCGTGGATTCCGATGGGCGTCAGCATTGATTGTCCCAGACAGGCAGACCACGACTCTTCTCAATGCCATCCGCCGAACTGGGATCTCCATCTTGGCCCCACCAGAGCGTGCTGTTGCTTGATGGTGAAACAGGCCTTGACGATAATGAGAGCGGCGCCTTCTTTCATTGTTTCAGTGTCGCGGCATCACCAAGCTCGCTTCAGTTCCGAAGCCCACAGAGTTGACCGTGAAATCGCCGTATTATCCGTATTGCTGTGCACAGGCTCAACAGTTAGCTTGATGAGGAGGGGCTTGAGGTACCACTTCTCAATGAAGCAACTTATGCCCTGAGCAGCCTGACCTCAATCAATGGCTGTAGTCCATACACGGCTGTGCTTGCCGGCATTCCCACACTGCTTCTGGAAGATGATGTCGCACTGTCAAACAAGATCTCAGACGTGTGTTCGGGGCACACCTACAGACTACACGAGCTGTCGGTGCAGGGCTTTGTATTCGACCCGACAAGCCCTAATTCCATCGTAGTTCTTGTGGACCCTGGGGCTCTTTTGGGGTTGTTACAGCTCTTGTGCTCTGGGTTTATGGTGTGGGTGGTGTACACCAAGTAGCTGCTGCATATTTGGGCTCTTTAAACTAGCAGTCGGGGAAATAGCGGCATGGGATCATCCCAGCACGAAACAAATCGACATGGATCAGTCTACACGTGCATATGCTTAAATATCCCTCTGGGCCGCAGCAGCTGCCATATGCTGCCGCATGTGAGAAATTGCTTGCTTCGATGCGTCCCAAAACGTATGTCTCAACACTACTGAATTTCGGAGCTCAAGAAGAGTAGATGCAAGTTTGGCTGCAATTGGAAGCGTGGCTTGCAGTAAGTGCTTGAGTTTTCGCTTCCCTCCAATGGCAAAGGGAACCGCTCAAGACCGTATGCCTCGCGCACTAGAGTCTCAAACACGGCCATCAGGTGAAGAGACGGAGTATAAAGTCGGCCACCAGGTGGATGGGTACAGAGATCCTGGTAGTAAGGACACATCTGGATGCAGATGTTCGGGCACAGTCGTCTATCTGCCCCGTCTGGAACACGGCAGAGTCGGAGTCAGAAACAGCAGCGATCAAATCATCACATGTCGGCCTTTCTGTCAATTTCGCTCGCAGACTTTTCGCATACTGGTGATCCTGCCAACCCTTCGGGGTGCAATGCAAATGGGGCACGGCAGTGTGCAAAAGAATGCGCAGATGCACGCATTTAGGGACAGTCCTCGCCTTAGGCCGGATGCGCACCAGTTCTGGCGAGTGGGTGGAGGCCTCGCTCACGGAGCAAAACCGGCAAGTCCTTAACACCTGATTCTCCTTGGCCCAAATTGTGCTTAAGATGACAAACGTAAAAGCAGAGCGTGCGTTCGCCAACAACTCGCGAAGAGCTCGATGTCACCTTATGGCCTTATGTCTGTGGTGGTCATTTGCAGGTTCTCGCCAAATCAAGTCTCTGTGCAGTTCAGAAACGAAACCTTCAATTGTGGCCATGGTTGACCAACAGTGGCCTGATGTGCGGCATGCTGTGCCCCAAAAAGCCAGCAGCGGTCCAGAGTTCTACAGTGATCACTTTACTGGAGCTACCGTTGAGGCACGATGTCTGTCGCCGGCACTTCCGCCTGCGCTTGCGCAGGGAAGGCTTGGAGGTGCCAAGCAAGAGGCGGACATTCCAGCTGGCCGAAACATCTCGTGGTGGCAACGAGCAGATCAACTCTGCACTCAACGATGTGCTCGTCGTGCTTGTGGCACGGTGGGGAGGGGACCGAGAGGGAAGTTTACCCGAAAGCTGCCGACAATGACTCAGCATGTTGATCCAAGCACCCTTGCGAACTCAGCGAACTGGTGCCCTAAACTTGCTACGATTCGAGCAGTGCGGCCCTTCACCAAGGGCGCATCTGCAAGCATGGTGGCCTGCAGCGGTCGCAAGAATGCATGGCCAAACGTCAAACTCCGCAGGTTTCTGGGTATCTGGCTGCTCTCCAGGCTCCGGTTGAACGCATAGCCCAACGTCAAACTCCGCGGGTTGCTGCGTTGTCGGCTGCCCTCTAGGCTCCGGTTGAATGCATGGCCAAACGTCAAACTCCGCAAGTTGCTGGGTAGCTGGCTGCACAACATGGCGAACCCCGCCCCGAAGGGCTGGGGCTCTACGATCTTACACCCGTGTTGTGAACACCCTCGTGTGCACGAGTTGCCACATAAACAGCGCGGTTGCGATGACAGAGTGGGCCGAAGCAAGGAGATCTCTTGATTTCCCTTGGCACCAAACTAGATAAGATTCTGTAGACCAAGAGCTGCTTGACAGCGTCTCCAAGCCAGGGGCTCAGCGACGCGCCAGATTGAAGGGGACCGCCCTGAATCGGCGCGAGTCTTCCGGGCAAGCAAGCACAGGAGAAAGTCCGAACAAGGCGAGATGCGCTAGGCCGAGCCTTGCCGGCCTTGCCTGCAGTTTCAGGACTCCTGAGCATAACACAGGGACGCGGCTGGGGAATTGGACAGGTCGCTGCGCTGTTGCACTTGTGCACTTTCAAGGTCTTTAAGAAACATGCTGCAGCTTCTGGGTGTCAGTAGGTCGCGTCGCATTGCGGACGTGAGATGCCAAGAGCCGACCGCAGCTGTTCTTCAACAGGCTGCGGAGGGCAGACCTGTGAAACCTTCTGGCCGGGTAGACAATCGCATGGAACCTCTCCCAAACACCCTAAACAAACACAAACTCTTGAGGGAAAATCGCCCTAAACCCTAAGCCTGATGTGGAGGAGCGCGCCAATGTGTGCGCACTAGCTCGCACGGGCCCATCAGAACACCTGATGCAAAGTCTAGAAACGCAGGGGCGTCAAGTGCACTGTTTGGACGGTGGAGGAGGGAGAGAACGAAAGCCTAATCTGACAGTCAATATCACCTGCGACAGTACGATGTCGCCAGAGACCGTCACGGCATCCGCCTGAAGGTTCTGTGCTGGGATATTTGGCACTGTTCGCCTGTCCTTCCGGAGGCAGACGACATGCCAACCGCAACCCAACTACAGTTTTCAGCTATACTCATACGGCTACACAGTTCACTCATGCAGTAGAGACATCATGTCGATACTGCACAGAAAAGACAGTCATGGAAGGTTCGTGCATTGCGAATGCTATGCATAGAAGCCCTTCGGCTAGTTGCAAATCTTCATGGTTGAAGGCAATTCTGCTCCGCAAGTGTCACGCTCCGCATGTCTACTGTCTGCTTCCTGGGAACTCGGGCCAACAAAGATCTCAGCACATAGAGCGGTTTGCAACAAAGGGCTCAGTCCTACAGCAGATGCTCTCCCTGTGATTTCGCTCCGAAACAGAACCAGCAATCATGCTTAAACAACGGGCTTTCAAACAAAGAAGGACTCAGATGGACTCAGGATGTAGGGACTTGTGGCCCGGGCTTTCGTTTCTTGTTTTGCAGCCGCATCTAGCATCTTCAGTAGGGCGCGGAGGGTGGGGTGGAGGCATCTGAACTTCGGGCTCGCAGCGTTATACTATCATGACGACTATAATAGGGACTAAAAGGGGATCTGAAATTGTGACCACAAGCTTGCCATAGTTCGAAGACACCACAAGCCATTCACAAAGGTAATAAAGACACTTTGCCTCCTCTTCCTCTGCCTTCTCGCCCTGACGCGAAACTCAAAGCTAGGGCCGCCCAAACCCAAAAAAAGGGCATCCGAGTTGGAACAGCCCCAGTGCACAAAGTTGGACTTCGTAGCCAAAGGACGCCCCCAGACCACCGTGACCGCCAAGGGCATGCCGGGGCTGCTTCCCGCAGAGTTGCCGCCTCCGCCTGTTGCCATCCGGGTGGAATCTTCAGCTCTGCTGCTACGAGGGTGTAGGGTTTAGGGCTTGGGGGGAAGATTCTCTGGAAACTGCGCAGGGCAGCCCTCTGCGCGATTGGAATGATAAGCCCAGAGGCGTAAGCTCCGCAGACGCGCTTTGGTAGCCATGTAGACTTCACACAACTTACATGCCAGGCTTCGGCTGTTACTTGCATTTCTGCAATAGCACCTATGCAACACTACCTTGCCACATTTACTCAATCCTGTCAGCAGTGTCGTCAATGCTCCCTGCTCTGTCGTCGTACTGGTCAATATGATAATGGCTATAATCCTTTGTGATTCGTGTCTAATGTTCCCAAGTCCTCTGAGTTCTATCTATTTCATGTTAGTTGTCGCACCTGCACTCCATTGTCTTCAGGAACCGCTTAACTATGGTTACCCGGCTTTGTTGGACATCGCCATTGCCGCCGGACTTCGTGATTGTGAGTCTTGCTTCATTAGTCCGATGCTCGTCTGCTCGAACGCGATCATCATCGATCATCACTGCCGCTGTTATCAGCGGTACCTTTTCTTTCGGACATCTTCGTTTATGTTGCCATTCTTGCTACTGGGGGCGAGCCATCTTTGAGCAGTTGTGTAAATCCTTGTGTTTCTTGTACTGGTGTGGACGGCGAAGCCACTGATTTTCTAGTAGTTGGTCTATTCGGCCTTTGCACGAAGAGTCCTATATACTAACGGGATATTCGCCATCAGCACTGGCATTTGAGAAGGAAACCTCTCCAGGAACCTGAAAGATCGGCTTTGCCCTATCAACATACGCTTTTGACACTCGCACTCGAGAGGCTCAGGAGAGGTTTCAGGCTACTATCAACATAAGCTACAGTTTTAACACAAGTTGCGTTGGCATGAAGGTTCGTGTCATGCGTGCCGACGGTGTCAGATGCTCTAATGATTTCTAAAGCACCAGGAATGCTGAGACTGTGGCAAAACGCCACCGACACGCTGACGGTGGCATGGCGCACAACTCCGCAATCCTCCACGAGCCTCCACAGCAGATTCAAGTCCTTGTTTTGCGTAAGTTGTGCGTCATTGCTCTCACGACACAGGAGCTGCCAAGCAAGTAGTTATTCATGTCTGGAGCACACAAACCGAACCCAGCTCCTCACAAACAACAACTAAGGTCGTGTTAGGTGAATGTAGGCGGAACTTTCCTTCTCTGCACTCACCGACATCCTGAACAGCTGGACTACTGCATGTCGAGCCACAGGGACCTCTGGAAGCATCTGCGGCGAGCAGGTCGTCACTCCAATCGCCACACCATCCTGACTTCTTTCCCAGCAGGCGGGAAGGGAGCAGCGGGTTTTTGCCGGGATTTTGGGATGGGACTACTGACTCCAAAACAGAGCGGTACTTGGCTTTCCCATCACACAGGAAGGGCAAAGCGTGGTCGAGACACTGTAGAGGTTCTTTTTTTTTTTTAAGGGCCCTTTTCCTCCCTGCTACAGTTGGAATACCTGATAGGTGGAGCCAGTTTTCCAACCACTGTAGAGGTTCCATCGTCAGGCTTTGCGAATTCTAACTTAGACCGGTACCCTCAACTTGCGGACATCTAGACAATCCGACAGTTGGAGATGTTTCAACGAATGTCAAGTCGGGAGAGACTTGGACTCGATGCTCCAAGCACAGCGAAGTGGTCTTTGTGTCCTCATGGCAAAGCCGCGGCAAACGGAGTTTCTTTAAACTCTTTCAACAGAGGAGGTCCATGATTACAGAAAGTGTCGAAGACTTTGTCTTCGAGAGAGCAGGTTGTGGGGCGTGTCCGCACACAGGCCCAGAGCCTGCTGTTCTTTTGTGATTACAGAAAATGTCGAAGACTTTGTCTTCTGGAGAGCAGATTGCTGTGGGGCGTGCCCGTACACAGGCCCAGAGCCTTCTGTTCGTTTGCGATTGCAGAAAATGTCGAGGACTTTTTCTTCTGGAGAGCGGATTGCTGTGGGGCGTAGGCCCAGAGCCTGCTGTTCCTTTGTGACACAGAAAATTGGAGAGCAGATTGTGGTGGGGCGTGCCCGTACACTCGCAGATCTTGCTGTTGTGTTTCAGAATGCTATCGTATCAGGGTCTGTCTCACCTTCGAGGAGCTCCATCTTCGGTTCCGAAGCCTGACAATCATGCGCGGTGCTTGCGTTTGAGGCCTCTTCCTCGTCAACGTTTTCTGCCTTGGCAGCCGTTTGCTGTGTCGCGCTTCCTCCAGGCGGCGGAGCACAAGATCCTTGACTGGCAATGCGGCTCCTGATGAGCTTGCTGCCGAAGCCTAGCTCCGTGCTGAGGAGGACGATTGTGGCATTGACATCGTAGTAATCATAGATGCACAACGCTTCCAACACTTGTTGCACCCGGTCATCCTGGATGTCTTTCTGGTTGTGAAGGAAGCCCGCCAGGTTATTGCACAATTCTTTAGATGCTGGCGGCTGGCCCAGATTCATGACCCACGGCTGATCAGTGCCGCCGATTCTCTTGCAGAAAAGGGCAGTGACGCCGAGCAGGAACATGAGCCCGAGCACAGTCAGCATCATCATCACATAAATGGCGGATGCCATGCTGTCGAGGACTGCCGGCCCACCTTCTGGGTCTGAGCCAAGCCGACCCAAGCCAACTGCCAGGAGCATCACAAGGAGCAAGTTGGTGACACCGTCCACGACGTTCAGTACCGGAGCCTTCCATGGCAGGTACCAGACCTGAAGCTGCAGGGACAGAAGTAGAATGCCCAGCAGGCAAACGGACTGCACCGCAGGCATGTTCGGGGCCGCGACGGCAGGCATGGAAAGGAGCGGGCCACGCGCGATCAGAACAAGGCCAAACCACCAAACATTGGGTCGGAAGCGGAAGATGAGGAAGCGGACACCTCCTTGGATAGCCTTGCCAGACCACGAAGGCGCTTTCCAGGCGAAATAGAAGCAAGAGGTTAGGAAGGCGCCACTCAAGGCCAAGATGGCTATGCCAAAGCACTGCATGAGGGTGTGCTCGGTCGAGAAACAGAAGACATCGCTGTACTTCAGCACGCTCTGGACGCCTGCGGGATGGCGATAACACATGAAGGGAACCAAGCCTACGTTCGTCATCGTTGTGAAGCTCACCTGGCAGAACTGACCAATCGTGCTCATCGTCTTGTACTTCTGCCAGGCCAGCCATGAAAGCCGGCGGGGAAGGAGCAGGTTGGTGAGCAATGCTGCTGCTGCAAGACCGGAGACCACTGCGAAGAAAAAGGCGCAGGTGCCAGCGAATCGCTGCACGGGGCCGCCAACAGCACAGCTGAAGCCAAGGCTGTGTAAGTCCAAGAGGAAGATCTGGCTGACACCAAGAAAGACCTGGAGACGACTTGGAAAGGGCACTGACGCAGTCTGTATCACACCCAAGTTTTGGAAAAGGGAGACCATCATACCCAAGCTGCACGTGGCACAAGTCAGCATACTGGCTTTGGCTGTGTAGTCTGATGCGAGGAGGTAGTAGGAGCTGAAGATGCCACAAAGCAAAATGCCGATGCCCAGAATCCAAAGAGCTGGCAGTGCTACACCACACTCGACGCACTGGTTTCCTGCACTGTAGTGATTCTCTGGACACTCGCTGCAGGTGCGGCCAACGCGGCCTGCGTCACAACTGCCTGGAGATCCTCCAGGGCAATGCGACTGACAGCGGTAGATCTCCAAGGGTGCTTCCATGCTGCTGAAGTACATCGGCAGCACCTGCGGCCGTTCCTCACTGCTGCCGTTTGCTAGTCGCTCCACGGTGCTTCCCACAGGGCAAGACAAGCCCTCGCCGCAGCTCACACAAAGCCCCGACTTTTCGATCAAGCCTTCTCTGCATACGCAGTCTTCCAGCCTGCTCGCAGCAAGAAGCCGCGTAGTGCGGACTTCGTCGCAACTGGTACAGCCTGTCTGACCCTCCAAGGCTTGGTAGGATCCTTGATCGCACACGTCGCAGGTCTCCCTGCCATGACTGTCTGTGTAGCCCCCAGCTGGGCACGGCGTGCAGCCGGTCTCTGCGCTCTTTTCCTGAGAAGTTCCTGGGGCACAGTGGACACAGCGGCGGGTGGCTCCTGTGTTGTCCAGGTACTCCTGCGAGAACCTTCCTGGGGTGCACACTTCGCAGCTTGTCGCATTTACCCTGTTGGTCACAAAGGTACCTGTGCCATCAGCTAAACCGAAGCCAGTGATGCAGTTGGTTTCGATCGGAAGCCAGTCTTGCCACCGCTGCTTGTTGTCACGCACCCACTGGCATGCAACATCATAACGTGGTGTTCCAGAAGCGATGGCCAGCAGCAATTTCATTAGCTCGGCGAGTTCGAAGTTCATGTTTGCAATGAAGTTTCTGACTCTTAGCGCCTGGTTTGCAAAATTGCTGCTGACTGCTTTGCTGATGTAGGTTCCACTTGCTGCCGTCCTCATGTTGCCATGAAGCCACTCCTGAGCGGAATATGGTGGGAAGGTGATGTGGTGCGGCTGAAGCGCGACGAATGTTGCGTCCGGCACCCACCAGTAAAACAGGCTGCGCGTGGTTTCAACAATCGAAACGTACTTGCTAAAGGAGTTGGCCACGGCGATGGCAGCCGGAATGCCATAAGTCGTCGACCAGTGCATCAAAGCCTGGAGCTTCCACCCACCACCACCTGCGGTAATGACTGGGATGCATGCCAACGTGTCACTGCGGCACTGCGGCGACATCCACCACTTGCCTGCATAACAATGGGCGACGTAATCGCCATTCGCTTGCGCTTGAACTCCTGCAGCATCACCTGTCCATCTGGCGTAGGATGCCATAAACTCCGACCTGTAGAAATCGGTGTTCTCACAAGGGAACAAATCTCTCGAGTCTATCGAGTCGATGCTGTCGAAGTACTGCTTGGGGTTGTGGTGCGTCAGGTTATAGCCTCTGTAATAGTCCAAGTTCAAACCCTCGGCGTCCAGCGCCTGCTGGAGAACATGTCTGCTAACATACAGCGACTCTTCACCCTGGTATCCCATGCTACCAAGGTCGACGGGTGTCAAGTGTGGGAGTTGCTCCTTCATGTCTTCTACTACTGAAGCATAGCTGGCCCACCATGAGTCCACACTGACATGGAGTCGGGTCTCATTGATGTCACACCGTGGATTGGTAGCGCTGTTGAAATCCAAACACCCTGCCAGGGCATAAGGCGTGGTGACTGCGCTGTGTCCATCCTCCGGGTGCGTCCAGGTATGGTAGCCCAACACTTCCTCAACTAGGATTCTGGCAACGTCCGATGTCAGGTAAGCAGACTCCCATTCACCTTGGAAGAAGCCAATGGGGATGTCTGTGCCGTCGCGCTTTTTGATGTATGCACGCTTACCTGCAGCAATTGCTTCATGGAGGCATGTTGCCGAAAAACCGGCATGTGCACTCAAGAAAAACAAACCCACAGTCAGACCACTCGGCAACGCCATGGCTCTGACAAACGGCTTCGAGCTGAAACGGCTTGGCCGGCAGCTTAGATGACGGCTGCAGAGTTCAGTGGCCTCGAGTCGGCGAGTACTCGAACGCCGTCGTCTCCCGGGCCCAGAGACCTACCCTACCAACGATTCATTGCCAAGATGGCCTGTCAGCCCTATGTAAAGCCCGAAGCTTTGGAGCCCGGAGCGAAAGCTCTGCACAGAATCGGCGCGCCGAACCGTGAACGAACCCCGCTCAACCCCGCTCATCCCTTTTCCCTTCAACTCCAAACCTCAACACCCCAGCCCTATCCTTGCTTTGGCCTCCAGCCCTTCACACACCGCATCCACGGAGACTTCGAAGAACCTCGGGTCTCCGGATAAGTGGATGCTTCAGGTTCTTGGGGCTGAAGAATATTTAAGGACAAGAGGTCTCCTCACGGTTTCCATAAGGGCGCCATGTGGAGGAAGCCAGCCACGGCAGTGCTGAAAAGCGAGGTTAGCTTCACAACGTGCGCATGGCCCTAGCAAAACAGCCAAACCTGTTCAGAACAAACCAAACCCTGGCATGCTCTCTAAAGGCCCTTTAGGGATGTCGGATGCGAAGGAGTGCAGGGTAATACTTAGGGTTTAGGGCTTGCATTAGAAAATTTACAGAGAAATTTGCGGCTTGAGGTCTTCTACAGGGTGTTTTTGCTGCTTCATAAAACCTGGCGTCTCACGGTTGAGGATTTAGAACGATGAAGCTCCCTTGAACCTCCCTATGTCGAGCTGGGCTTGGCCTGTGCTGATCCTGGATCCTGCAAACCTAGCCTTCCCAAGCCCCAAAAGGCAGGGACGACACAATCACCGTAGCTCCGCAATGGTCCGTTGTTGACCAGGCCACCACCGAAGTGCTCGTAGGAACTGCCAGCAAAGTGCTGCTCTCAAACTTGGAGCGACCCTCCAACATAGGTTGTTGTTGCTATTGCGAGTTGCAGCCCATGATCTTGTTCATGCTGTGCTGCTGGACACGCATGGTCGAAAAGCCGCTCGGGATGTGGGCCTTCTAGCATGAGCACTTTGGGCACGGGCAGTGATACTCCGAAACCCTCAGCCAGGCTAGAATCGCGAAACTCGAATCTTCGACTCTGCCGACCGTGGTCAGCCACTCTTGGCAGACGACTGGACACATAGCTGGCGCCGGAGGCGAGTGCGATCATCTTCCCATGCCTGCCAAAAAGCAAAATGAAATGACGTTTTACGCACTTTACGCGCTAGAAATGCTAACTCAAATCAAGTTGTCGGAGCATGTCTGGTTCCACACACCTGGGATTCTCGAACCTGAGAGTGAGGTTGCAATCTCTCACACGAGTTGTTTCTATAATAACGGCAATCAAGCGGAACCAGGGAGAAAAGCATCTCCAATGAGAGTTTCCATGTCCGGCTACACCATACTTCTTCCTACTGGCTACAGACCGAACTCAGACAAAAGCGTCCAACAAAGACAGAGTGATCAAACAATCACGACCTCAATTTTGATCAGATTCACAAGGAGCAGTGCCCGTGAAATCCAAGGTGGACGTGATGATGAAAACACCACTACAAGGCTCAAGAAACACTAGCCTAGCGCCTTAACCCGAGCCTCTCACTGCACCCCTGCGCCCATGTCCTGGCCTCTCGCTACACCAGCCGGTCATCGTCGGCAAAAAAACTGAGACCAGAACACAGTTTATTGTTTCGGCTGAAATTTTGCAAGGGTTTAGTGAAGGGGTAGTACGCAGACGTAACCATTGGCGTGAGCGCTCGGGGTGAAAGCCTGGGGCCCAAAACCTTTGTGAAAACAGCCCGAAGACCGGAAGCCAGAATCCACAAAAGTCCAAAACCCACCCTTCAAGACTTCTGCTTCGAGACTCAGTGACAAGCCTCACAGCTTGGCCCTGAGCCCTGCGACTGAAAGCCCTCTGAGCAAGTTATCGGTGGGCTGTGAACCGAGATTTCCCAATTCGAGTTTCGACAATGTCGGCTTCAGGGATTGCGAGACTCAAAGCAGAAAACCTCCAAAGTTCGCAGGCTCTCAACACGACCGACACCTCGATCGAGGGGAGTGCCGGCGGGCTTGCGGCCCCTGCGAAGATGACCGACATGTTCAGGGAGCACATCGCGGGAGGTCATTGCACGAGCAAGAATGAACACACAAGACTCTAAACAAGTGTCAATGTATGCACAATTCCGCTTTCCACTCCATCAATGAGAAGCAAGCCCTGCAACCAACCATGTAACCAGTCAACAGTACAAATGCACAACCGTTAATGTAAAGGTGTCCTTCCCAATCGTCCAAGCGACCCCAGTCCTTCAATCTGGCCTGGCGAATCCGAACCCCTAGATCAAAGCCCGAGGGACGTTGGAGACAAAAATGCTCACTATTGCTCACAACGTCCCATCCCCCTTCCTGTCCTTCTTCATGAGGATCCACAACGCAACTCAAGCTGCGGCCAGGAACCAGATTACGCAGCCCCATGGCTCACAGCTACTATGACACTATGACAGAGACACTTTCCAAGCATTCTTGATGGTGTTCGGATTGCTTGAAAAATGAAAGCTCAGGGGCTCGGAGTTCGAGGAAGCGCAAGATGTCAGGTGGCACAATCTGGCTGGGGCATGATGAGGAGAAGCTGTTGGTATGAGATGGAAAACGCTGCAGACTTGCACCCAAAGTGGATCCCTAGACTGGCTGGTCTGTCTCGCTCATTCGGGACAACCAACTACACTTTGAGGAGTCTGCCAGCTCAAATGATTTCGAGCTCCATATAGCACATTCGATGGGATGTCAGTGCCAGGTAAGTGCCCGAATGCTTCTGCAGAGGCAACATGCACTGCACTAGTTCCTCTTGCAGCCTGCAGGGCTGCCAGTCGGGGGTGTGCACAGCATGGTCTCTGACTTTGAACTCTGCGTAGTCAACAGGAAATCAGCAGGAAATCAATGCAAAGCGGATGCCAGGTGCTTCGCACCGTGGCTCTCGCGGAAGAGCGGTTTGATCCACGATTCGCTTTCGGCAGGCAGGCGAGGTTTCGAACATTTCGGGCAGTCAGGGTGAGACTATACAAATCGGCATGTTCACCAAGCAATCCACCTACTCGGCACATCAGATGATGCACACTTCAACACCCTCCAGTCTGGCCGGAGTCCGAATTTTGCCATCCTCGATTCTCCTCCGACCCCAGGGGCCCTTGGCATGTAAATGCAACTTGCTCAACAGAAGCCCCACTGCTAATTGGCAAAATCTATACAAGTGGCTTAGGCCTCGTAAACCCAGCTCTGCTTGTTGGTCTCGACGTGCGTGGGTGCATCCTCGACATTGACGATGCGGAAGCGCTCCCAACTGTGAACGGCGTTCAGGTTCTGGCCCGCGGTGGGTCGTATCGTGGTACCCTCCATGGTAATGAACCTGGTGTGCACGCCGCAGCGGAAGCCGAACTCCCCGCTCACGCGCCGCACGGCGAAACGCTCTCCCGGTCCTTTTTTTCCAACGCACCTTTTACGATTGTGCAAAGAGAGTCCGGTCCCCGTGCACGCTGCAAACTACGGCAGGCGGCGCAGGGTGGGGAGGCTGCGTCGTGTAGAACGTCCCCGAACGTGGGAAGCTGAGAGCCAGGCATGGCCCCAGCGATGTACGGCGTGCCGAGCAGCGTTGCAGCAAGTGTGGTGTGCAGAGCAACACTAAGCAGGCACCAACAGCGGCGCAGCCAGCCACAGCACCGCGCAGGGCAGCAGGAGCGCGTTGGGCGCGCAGCCGCGCCAGTTGCGCGACCAGGCGGTGCGATTCAGAACTCCCGCGTCCGCCTGTTTTTTTTTTTTTTACGCGCCTCTTTTCCGCCCGCAAGGTGGCTGTCCCCGCATGCTGCCAGAGGCAGGCTGACTTCCGTCGCTACGGCTACGCAGGATCGTCGCTGCCAACTGCTACGAGCGCAGGGGCAAGAGACTAGGGCCCGCCGTTGGTCCGGCGAGCTCGAGCACTCGCTCGAGGGGCGGCTCATCCCCCTCACGCGGGTGGAGCGGCACTGGCCAAGCCTGCCCCAGCGCCGTGCTGGCGACCGCCCGCTGCACGGCAACAGCCAGCAAGCCCCACCAACGGCGCGACCAGCCCGCAGCGGCCGCGCGGCGAAGAGCCGGCGGAGCTCTTTGGGACCGGACGCGGATGAGGTGCTGCACGAAGCGGCCAGCCTCGCTGTTCCAGCGCCCGCCAACTTCCGAGCCCAGAACAACGAGCTCTTGCGGTCCCCCGCCGCTCAGCTCCGGGTAGGTGCTCCGTTTGCGGCGCTCGGCTACCCTGAGCACGGCCCCATCCGTGTCAGCGGCTCCCGGCTGTGGATGCCCCGTCCGTGCGAGAGGTGAGACGAGAGTCGCATCGCAGCACAGTGCGCCTCCCCGCGGTGTGGCGCCGTAGACGACTAAGTCGAGCCGTCTGCGGTCGTCAGCTGGCACGCCCGGTGCGGTAGTGTGCACGAGCCATTGTTGAGGGACGACTTGCCCATCAGTGCCGACCGCCTCGCGGGCTACGCGCACCCAGGCCCGCTCGACGACTTTCGCTCGGCGAGCCAACAACCCTGTGCGGGGGCAGGCGAGGGCATGGTCCCCGTAC